GCTCTGCAGGCGGGTGCGGGCGTCGCTGACCCCTCCTCTCCCACCCCCCTCTGTCCTCCGCCCGCAGGGCGCAGGCTGGGTGGCCGGGCCGCTGGCGGCCACCGCGGGAGAAGCAGCGGCGCGTGACGCCGTGGCGGTGGAGGGGACCGAGCGCGCCGTGTCGAGACCCCGTGGAGATCTTCCCGCCTCGGCCTCCCGTGAGGCCGCCCCGCCCCCGTGGCCCGCGCGCGCTGTCACCTGTCCTCATCACCTTCCCTGCCCTTCAGCGCCCGCTGCCCGGTCCCCTGCCCCGGCCCCGCCATCCGGATCACCTTCCTCTGCCCTTCTCCGCAGCTCCTCGGCCGCGCGCTCCGGAGGACGGGGCGAGGCAGCGACCGGACAGCGCAGCACCCTCGCCGCCGGAGCCGCGGCTCCCCACCCGGAGGTGCAGGTTTGTGCCTGTCCCCTTTCCCGCAGGCTGGGGCCGGGGAGCGCCGGGTGCGGTGGCCGGGGCTGGGGTCCTGGGAGCCGCTGGGACAGGCGGCCCTGGTGTGCGGAGTCTCCCGGGCTGCTGCACTTTCAGGATGACCTGGGCATACCTGGGTTCGGCCTCAGGCCGGCGCCTGCCGGATGAGAACCGGTCCCTGGCCTGACTGCCTGGGGTGGGACCCTTCCCTGGGTCCAGGCTGGTGCCCCTCCTGGGATGTGGCAGCACCTGTGGGGGGAAGGTGACCCTCAGCCCGACAGGGGCCAGGCAGACGCCTGTGATGGAGCCCGGTGGCAGCACGCAGGAGGAGCCGGAGAGGAGAGAGGGGTCCCCGCTTGTCCCCAAGTGTGGCCATGCTTACGGGGAGTGGTCCTGGAGCCTTACCACAGGCTCTGCATAGGAACCTGTTCTGGTGGTGCTGGGCGTGAACCAGGGCCCTGTGCGCGCCGGCAGGCCCTACCCCTGAGCCGTGTCCCCAGCCAGGCCCTGTGACCCTGGTGCCAGCGCAAGGGCGGGAACCCGCGGCCCGAAACCTCAGCCGGGTGCCCAGCTGCGTGGCCGTGCTTGGTGACCGTGTTTGGAGCCGGGCGCACACCGCACTCCTCAGTGGCCGCATGCTCCAGCTCCTAGAGCCCTCAGAGCCGTCCGCGGTCAGGCAGAGATGAGGGAACTGAACGCTGCGCTCCCACCCGCGGGTGAACTGGAGCGAGAGCCGGCCGGCCCTGCGAGGCCGCTGCTGCCCGTGCACACGGCCGGGGCCTGGGCTTGGATCTTCAGCCGTCTGCACAGGGGCACCTCCCGCTTGGCCTCCTGCACCCAGACAGCCAGCGCCCTTCTCAGGGGGGGGGGGGGGGGGAGCAGGGAGCCAGGGGAGGGAGGGGAAGGCAACAGGAGGCGACCGCCCCACCCCGGAAAGGGCGACTGGAGCGAGGGTTAGAAACAGCCCCAGAAAGGGCCGCTGTCACCGCAAGACGGCTATGAAGACCCTCGCCCTGGCTCTGCCTGTGGGGAGGCACGCAGGCCTGGAGTTGCAGACTGTCCCTCTCCACGGAAGCTGCTCGTGAGGAGAGGGGACACTAGGACAAAGGGTGCGGAAACGTGTGTGGCAGATACAGTGAATTTTTAGTTTAAAATCTACCACAGGAAAAGACACGTTGCCACGAGTCCCCTCAGAATCCTCCCCCTGGTTTCGAACACATCCATCCCGTCATCCTCGCCACCTTCTGCAGCAGCTCCGGAGTCCTCTTTCCTCAGTGTCTTTAGTTGCGCTGTCCCGGCTGCCTTGATGTCCGGATTCCATTCAGAATAGTTCCCTTTCCAGGTCACTCTGACTTTGGGAAAGAGCCGGAAGTCACCGGTGCCAGACCTGGTGAATAAGGTGGACCAGGACACAGCGTCGTGTTTTTACGAGCTGCCTTCCTGTTGGGTGGTGCTCGGCAGCAGCATTCACTGTATTTTTGATCACACCTGGAAAGACACTCAGGAAAGAGGACTCCAGCGCTGCTGCAGAAAGCGGCAGGGATGATGGGGCGAGTGCTCCATCGAGGGTGGTCTTTGAGGGGGATTCGTGGCCCTGTGTCTTTCACTGTGGTCATTTATTGAGTACACGCTGTGCTTCTTGCTCTCCCTGCGCTTGACCCCGGTGCTCGGTGGCCAGCGAGTGGCCTCACAGACGCTGCCCTGATGCCCGGCTCCGCCTGCAGACTTGGGCTGCAGCTCCATAGCGCCAGGCAGGCTCCGTCCCCAGACCCACGAGTGCTTTCACAAACTCAGTGGGTGCACCGTGCCAAGCACGCAAACGTGGTAAGGGTTCTCAACAAGGAATTTAATAACCTGACCCCAAGTGGGAAAGGCGCGTGTGACAGATCCTGGGGGCTATGCGACCCCGTGTGGCTTTCTTTTCCTCCTAGGAACCCACAGAAACCCATCTAGCGGGGAGGAGACTAGAGTGGAGCCTGGGGTCCTTCCAGTGATCGCAGGGCACTTCCTGCTTCTGAGGCTGGGTTTAAACCTGTAATCCGCCTGCCTCAACCTCCCAGGGTACTGGGATTACAGGCGTGTCACCACGCCTCGATTTCCCCACCCTTCCCCGGTACTGGAGTCTGAACGCAGGAGCACTGAGGTACATTCTCAGCCCTTTTGTTCTACTTTTAAATTTGGGGACAAGGTCTCACTAAGTTGCCCAGGCCGGCCTCGAACTTGTGATGCTCCTGCCTCAGCCACAGGGGTAGCTGGGATGACAGGTTGCCCCACACACCCGTCCGGGCAGATGGCGGGAGCCCAAGGCCGCTAAGCTGAGCTGCTCTGGACCACTTCCCGGCCGCCCCACACTGCTCTTTGCTTGCGCTGCCTTTCTGACCCATTTGCTTGCTCGCCAAGAAAGTGCCTCCTGGTCACTCGGGGTGGAGGCAGTTCCTGGGGGCTGCAGACTTCACCGCCTCCCTCCATAGTACCCGGAGCTCCGTGTGCCGCACTTCCTGGGGCTCCCTGCCTGCCAGGGCCGCCCCATCACTCTCCTCTCAAGGCCGATCCTGAGAGTACAGATCTCTTGTCTCTTTTTATCTTTATTTATTTATTTATTTTTGGTTTATTTCTGGGACCGGGAATCGAACTCACGACCTCACACTTGCCAGGCAGGCGCTGTGCCACTGAGCTAAATCCCCAGCCCCCTGTCTCAAAATAAAAAAATAAAAATAAAAAGGGCTGGAGATGTAGCTCAGTGCAAAGGCCCTGGGTTCAATCTCCGGTACGAGGAAAATAAAAACCAAAAAAAAGAAGATAAACAGAACAAAACCAAAAAAAAAAAGTTGCCCAAATAATAGAAAGTGCCTAACAGTATAATACTGAACATGATACATGGCAGCTTGTTCTTATTTGAATATCTCTCTCCAATGCTACTTTTGCTGTTTTTGTTTGTTTTGTGCTTGCTACTGTGGCAGCATCTCTGGGGTTGCAGTTCCGTGGTTTCTGTGTTTGGTGTCCTGTTCCAGCTCGCAGCTCCAGATTACTTTGCTCCACCAAACCTATTTGTAGACGGAAAAGATTAACAGGTTTATGGTCTCACACGGCTCCACTCCAATGCTTTGCTTTCAGCGTAGACCTCCGCGTTGGGGCGCAGGCGGCCGCGCCTTCCTGACCCTGCGCACGGGGACATCTGGCTCCTGAGCGGCTGTCGCGGGATGTGATGTGGGGACACGGAGCCCGGGACTCAGGCTCCTGTTCATGCACAGGTTTGCAGGGTGCTTGTGCTTTGCCTGGTGTCACAGGACAGGAAGAAGCTTATTCTTTGGAATTCCGTCTTTCAGGAGCTTACAGTGCAACTCCAGGCCAAAATGTGGGCACAGGTGGTATCGATGAAACTAAATTTATTGTAAAAGGGCTAGTATGACCCTGTTTCTTTGTGTGGTCTTTGAGACAGGGTCTCACTCTGTAGTCCAGGCTGGCCTTGAACTCACTATGTAGCCCTGGCTGGCCTCAGATTTGTGATCCTCCTGCCTCAGCCTCCAAGGTGCTGGGGTTCCAGGCTGTACACGCCGGCTGAATCTTTGTAGATTAGTAATGCAGCTGTGCTCTTTGCTCAGTACCCCTGCCTTTGGCAGTCTGTAGGTACGTGCGGGGTCCTATGGAAGAGTGTGTGAGACTCCCGCTCACTGGGACTGCACACACCCATCAGGCCCCGGGGGCACCGGAGTGTGAGTGCACTCTGAGACGCCTCTGCGCATCCCCCAGGTCACACTGCCCACCTCTGCCCAGGGACGGACTCTCCTCCTCACGTGCTGACCATTCCCTTCACCTGCGTCCTTGCTTCTCACTGGAAATGACCACTGGTGGTGAGCACAAAGCACAAAACTAGGTGAAGAAAGGGAAACATTGCCGCTGCATGGTGTGAACGTTTAGACTTTAGTGTTACAGTGAGAGACAAATTGCCGCGGAGCCCCTCAGAATCCCTCCCCTCACTTCCAGCACCCCTCCCATCAACCTCGCCACTTTCTGCAGCAGCTCTCGCACCCTCTTTCCTGAGCGTCTTCACCAGGTGTGATCAAGAACGCAGTGACTGCCGCCGTCGCGCACCGTCCAAGGGAGAGGCCGCGCGTAGAAAGGGGACGCGGTCCTCGTCACCTTAGTCACTGATTCTGGCACGTGAACTGGCTCTGGCTCGTGTCTTTGGCTCTTCCCCAAAGTCAAGATGACCGTGCAGAATGGTGCGTTTTGAGTAGATTCAGGACACCGAGGCAGCCAGGACAGTGCAGCCAAAGACACTTAGGAGGGAGGACTCCAGAGCCAGGGCTGCAGGACGGAGGATGCATCCCGTGTCGGAGGACTGAGAATCAGCAGAAAGTGCCAAGCACCACGGGTGTGTGTGTGCTGATCCCCGTCCTCACACGACACCCAGCCGCAGCCCCGCAGCCCCGGCCGTGGGCTCTGTCCATCTTGGACGTGGACAGCACGTGTTGCGGGCACGGTCTGTGCTCGTCTGACCTTCCTGGCTCCGGGCGGAGCCTTTTGGTGGCCTGCATTCCTCGGCCTGGCTGTCCTCCTTCACCTCACTCGTGGTCTTCCCTCCTCTGCTCGCTCAGCTTTTCTTTTGTTTATTTGTTTGTTTGTTTTTCTTCTAGTACCAGGAATCGAACTCACGACCTCGCGCTTGCCAGGCAGGCGTTTTGCCGCTGAGCTAAATCCCCAGCCCTCGCTCAGCTCTTCTTGCGAGACCTTTGATCGTGTGGATGTTGGGGTCCCTGCTCAGGTCCTCGGGTTGCCCCCCTCTTGTTGCCAGGAGTCTCAGCGATTTTATTAGCAGGGTCGCCTTTCCGTCAGTTGTATCACATTGTTACTTTCAGGTTCTCCAAATATTCCTTCTGTATAAGCTCTTCTGTCCTGCTTAAAACATCTTCTTATCCGTTAAAGATCATGAATGTTGGACCTTTCCTTTTTCTTACTGAGTATCAGCTTCCTGCATGTGCCTTCTTTCTGTGTTCTGGTCTCCATCTCCAGTGTAAGAAGCTCTGGTTTGTTTTCTGCTTTTGGAGTGTCTGCTTGTGACTGACGTCACCTGAAGCCTTGCTGAGGCAGCTCTGGTGGCAGATGGGGTGGCAGATGGGCGGCGGTGTGGCCCTCACAGCGGTCAGTAAGCGAACGCACCCCCTCCTGTGCTCTCAAACACCCTGCCGTCTCCGGTCCTGAGACCTGTGGGCCCCCGGCTTCAGAGCACAAGGCCCTGGCTGTCTCCTGGGAACGGGCCTTGTCTCCGCGGGGCTCCTCAGACCATGGCGGGAGTGCAGGTGCCGGGACCCGACTCAGTGACTCGTGTGGGTGGTGAGCTTTCTGCTCCCAGTCCAGGCAGGAGGCCTGGCGTGGCTGGGACCCGGGTCACCGCCTGCTTCCCTCAGCTCTCTACCAGCCCCTCTTTATTTTCCACTCCATTCGCCGTCCGGGACCTGACCCAGTCCTGAGGCTTCCTGCCTCTGCCTCTGTGGAGGGCCTGGTCACGCGTGGGCTGGGCCCTGCTTTCCCACGCTGGGATGGGGGCTTGGGGACCATGCTTGCCTACGCGCTCTGGCCCTGCTGGCATCCTCTCCTTTGCCCCCCAGCTTTGCGAGTTCCTGAAAACCACCTAAGGCTTTGCAGGAGGCCACACGAGAAGTGCGTGTTCTGTGTGGTAGCCTCGCTCTGGCCTCGGCTGTGGTGCCATCTCAGGCTCTGGCAGATCATGCAGAGAGGCTGACGCCCGTGCCAGCCAGGCCTCGAGTCAGGACTGTTCCGCTGCTCCCTGTCCCCTCCCTTGTCCCCGCTGGACCACCCCCTCCGCCCCTCTGAGCTTTGCAGCCCTGCAGCGCCGGCCCTGACTGCAGCCGTGGCCCAGGCAGGACCTGGCGTCATGCGCGGGTGTGCCCTCTGGTCCCCACGTCCTGAGGCTGCTGTACGGTGCCCAGCGCCTGCTGGGGTTTGCTGAGCCAGGGGCACTCCTTCCCGCCCTGATCATCTCTGCTTCTCTCTATTATGAAGTGATTACGCTCTTAGTAAGAAGTGACTTCTCTTTTCAGATAGAAATCCATGTCTCACGATCTTAATTTTAAAAGACAATGATTAAAGTAAATAACGTTTTGCAATTTCTAAAAAAAAAACAAACCTACCCAATGAGATTAGATTTAAATACTTTATGACATTCACTCGATTTTCTCCCCAGTCTAAAGATTGAGAAAAGACAAAATTTCCCCAGCCCTCGATGAAGGTATAATTATTACCTCCTCATGAAATGACCTATGGGAAGCCTTTGAAACTCAACTATTTAAGTACATTACATGCAAATCTCTTTAATCTGGATGATCAAGATTAAAGTCCTGCTGAGGCCTGCACTGTTGCTTCCTTCCTCTTCAGAGCAGATGCACGGGAGTATAAATCACTTCTCGGCCTCTTAGCTGAGATCAAGTCTGTAGCAGCTTCCAGGTCAGCCCAGACTGCGGAGAGAGAGGCCCTGTCTCAAAAAACCTAAAAATAAACAAGGAAATAGAAATTTAAACAACGTGAAAGGGCAGGCTTTGAAAATACACTTGAGTTTGAGATAGCGCTGAGGTCGTGACCGGCCGTAGTTATGGTTACGGTTCTGCAGTGCACTGTCCTGCCCTGCGGCTCCAGTACCTCGGCCCCATCCCTGTCCTTTGTTCCTTTCCAGAGCTGTGAGGCGAGGACCATGAGCAGGGCCGGCGACCCTGCTGACCTTGGCGTCCTCCTCCCCAGCACCGGAGCCACCGTCTGACCCTGGACGATGGAGATGGACGAAGGGGCCGAGGCCTCCGCCGAGGGCCACTCCCTGACCAAGGCCGCGCACCAGGGCCGGCTGCGGCTCACCCGGCTGCTGCTGGAGGGCGGTGCCTACATCAACGAGAGCAACGAGCGCGGGGAGACGCCCCTGATGGTGGCCTGCAGGAGCCGGCACCCCGACAGCCAGGGCGCCAGCAAGGCCCGGATGGTGAGGTACCTGCTGGAGAACAAGGCCGACCCCAACATCCAGGACAAGGTGGGCAGGACCGCGCTGATGCACGCCTGCCTGGAGCGGGCCGGGCCGGACGTGGCCGCCCTGCTGCTGGACCACGGGGCGGACCCGAGCCTGCAGGACCACACGGGCTGCTCGGCGCTGGTGCACGCCATCCACGCCGAGGACAGGGACACCTTGCAGGTCCTCCTGAGCGCCTGCCAGGCCCGCGGCAAAGAGGTCATCATCATCACGACGGCCAAGTCGCCGTCCGGGCGGCACATGACCAGGCAGTACCTGAACACGCCGCCCCGGCCCGCCTGCGCCTCTCCCTCCGAGATAGACGTGCGGACGGCCCCCGCCTCGCTGGCGCAGGCTTCTGAGACTGAACAGACACTCTTCGGCTTCAGAGATCGGGAGCCCTCCGCAGGCACCGAGGATGCCTGGGACCCCGGGTGCCCTGCCGGGAAGCCGGCCCTGCCCGCTGGAGGCCCCAAGCCGCCCCCAGCTCCGGCCTGGGGCAAGAGTGCCCCAGCCCTGAAGCAGCAGCACAGAGTGGCCTCGCTGCAGGAGGAGCTGCTGGACGCCGCCTCAGAGGAGGAGCCCCCCGGCAGGGCCCTGGCCCTCCCTAAGCGCTTGGTCACCAGGCACCAGAGCATTGATGTGAAGGACTCGGCTCCTCTGCTGCGCGCCTGGGAGCAGGCCGACGCCAGGAAGGCCGCCTCTGAGGACAGCCACCACCAGGCGCTGCTTCCAGAAGGAGACCAGCTGCACCCTGAGGGCCCCCCGGAGCTGGACGCAGACCCCGGCCTGCCAGCCGGCTCGTCCACCCTGAGGAGCGTGGTGCAGAAGCGGAACTCGGGGGCGAATCACTACAGCTCTGACTCCCAGCTTTCAGCCGGGCTCCCGCCCACAGCCTCGGAGGACAGCAGAGCGCTTCCCGGGAAGAAGAAGACCCTCTCCGCTTCTCCTTCGCTGCTGTCTGGGCCCAAGGATGCGCCTGAGAGCGTCCCGCCGGGGCCCCTGGGCAGGCGGGGTCATGTGGTCCTCGAGCGGCGAGGGTCTGGCCCCTTCCCTTTGGAGCACAGCCTAGCGCAGCCCAGGCCCGGGTTCCTGCCGCCCCTCAACGTGAGCCCCTTCCCGCCCGCCCCCGATGGCTGCGCCGGCAGCAGGCTCTGCAGCCTCCTTGCTTGCGGTCAAAGAGTGCTCGTGCCAACGGCACCTGCTTTCCCTAAAGAATTCAAAACCAAGAAAATGCTGTTGAGGAGGCAGTCCTTGCAAACCGAACAAATTAAGCAACTAGTAAACTTCTGAGAGGGCCAGAAGGCACACCATCTTCAGACGTCTACATCGAGAGATAGGGACCGAGGGAGGGAGGGATCTCGCATGCCTGTCCTTTGTCACAGCATTGGCCAGTCCATCATGAATGGGAGCAGGGTGTGGTGTTTGGTGTTAAGCGCTGTGAACATACAAATAACACATAGTTTCTGCTAAGAGAATTCTCTCAAACCACATGAAAGCTATTTTCAGAAGACTACCAATATTATAAACTTTCACATGGTTCCAGTTTTCCGTTTAAACAAAACTCAGCAAAGAAAGGTCAACTACGTTGGAGATAATTTTTTAAAATGTCAGATTGGCTTAATATTTTATTAGAAAAATAAGATCGTAATTTTCCATGATGCCAAAAGCATAAAAGAAAACACTGAGAGCTAGAAAATGTTCTAGCATCAGTAAGCCTAAGCAGCAAAGAAGGAACAAGTTCTTCACCAACATTAACTACAGGCAGGTAAAATCTGAAGTTTTAAAAGGTCAAAAGCTATAGATAGACTAGTCAACTAATACTCATGATGTTAGTGAAAGCACCACACTGTGGTCAGAGGTGCAAGTTGCTATAATCCATGCTGAGTTCTGTTGTTTGTTTGCTTTGCTTTGTTTTTCAAACACACGTACCTCTATTGTTATCTTTTCGAATTATTCTTCCTCTGTATCTTTTAATTCCTATTATTATATCTGGAAGCTTATTATAAGTTTCCAGTAACAAGATAATACAAAAGTTAAAACTAATTTAATTACTTAAATTAGTCTTGTCTTCCAAAAAGAAACAAATAAAAAAAAGAAAGAAAGAAAACACCCCAAACAAAAAAAGCTTGGGATTTGTCACAAATACAAAATAAATGCCTGCTTACTAAAAAAACCTGATTATTAGATGAGTTTAGGTTAGCTAAAATTACTAAAGCCAGTAGAAAATCATGAAATGTAGCAAATATTTGGTCAGTACTATACAATATCATTTTGGACAGGTAGTAATTAGAATTCATATAATAAGGATAACATCTTGAGTGTGACATTCCAGCTGTCTAGTATTTTAGGACTTATGAATAACTTCTAACAACTTCTATTATAAAATACTGAAAAATGACTGTGTTATCTCTGTAACTTCAAAGTATGGTGTTTATACCAATAGTCCTCATTTCAGTCTATCCTTCCTAAAGCAAAGAGTAGATCAAACTATACAAGAGCTGAGCGTCCCGATCTGATGACTGTCAGATACAGACTGCTTTCTTTGCCTTCTGTAAGTACAGGAAATCCCAACACCTGGCATGATGCTTTTCTTGGTGATTGATTCGATATAAGCAAGTTGCAGCTTACAGAGTAATTAGTTACTTGTGGCTTTTATTTTTTAAAGTATTTGGAGTTTTCCATTTAGTGTTTTGAAGCCAATACTATTAATTACACTAGAATTTTGTTTTATCTAGAACTTAAAATTGTACTAGATGTTTGTAAATAGCTAAGTGCTTTTACCAAGAAAAGTGCTGGTAGCTGGGCATGGTGGTGTACCCCTGCAATCCCAGTACTTGGGAGGCTGAGGCAGGAGGCTCACTATGAATACAAGGACAGCCTGGGCTACATAAGTGATCAAGGCCAGTCAGAACTACATAGTGAGACCCTGTCTCAAAAAAGCGAAACCAAAAAGTGCTGGACTTCTGATTGTAAAGATACAGTTTGGAAGAACATGTAAATAGTTCCTAAGCAAAATGGAATCAATAAAGGTTTAAAATGTCATGTTGATCATTGCTGACTTTTATTTACTTCCCAAACACTAGTCATACATCAACATTATTTCCAGAAAAATTGTGCTACATGTTTCTTTGAAGAAACAGAAAACTATTTTCATCCCAACATGGACAATAAATTATAGTAGGACAAAACTTGGGAAATATTTGAACCTACTAGAGATCCTAAGGACATTTTAGGGTCGGAAGCTACAGCAGGGAAGTAGAATCTACTGTTGGCATTTAATGGTGAGACACGTGTGCAACGGGAGCCAGGTTGTGAGTGTGTGTGTGTGTGTGTGTGTGTGTGTGTAATATATATCAAGTTATATTTTAACTTCATGTGGAGTAGGATTTAATTTTTACCTAAAGGTCTGGTACCATTTTCACTATGTGGGATGAGGGCTTCCAAGAGCACAGCTCACACTGATTCCTGGCAGGAGTCCCTTTGTGGCTGACACAGGCAGCCCCAGTTATGAGACACAGGTTGACATCACTCATCCCAGTGACCCCGAGAGGCACCAACACCCAGGTAGAAGTCTTTGTTGGGGACACACCCACTGGGCACCTAGGACTAGACCCTTTGAAAACTGTAAATCCTAAAACTACCTTTGTTCGGATTAAACACTTGCTTTGATTCCTGTGGTGTTTGCTTAAAGAACAGAATGAGCCTGTCAGTGTGGAGAGACTACATTCAGCATGTTTTAAAAGGGCGGAGTTAAAATAGTTAAAATATAACTTGATATATATTACACACACACACACACACACACACACACACACACAACCTGGCTCCCGTTGCACATGTGTCTCACCATTAAATGCCAACAGTAGATTCTACTTTCCTACTGTAGCTTCCGACCCTAAAATGTCCTTAGGATCTCTAGTAGGTTCAAATACTTCCCAAGTTTTGTCCTATTATAATTTATTTTCCATGTTGGGATGAAGATAGTTTTCTGCTTCTTCAAAGAAACATGTAGCACAATTCGCATTTTCTGATGCTTTGCCATCCTGGGGATGGAGACCCTGGAGGGACAGCCTCCTGCAGGGAACCGGTGCCCAAAGATAGACCCCCTTGCCCAAGGGATGCCTTCTACCTGACACCCAGCTGACCAGCCCTTGTGGGGGGGGGGCACCAGGGTGACAGCCCCTGCCCTAGGGCTGCTCAGAACATCCAGACGGCAATCCTGGGTCTGCTTGCCCTGCCCGGGCCTCCCTCCCCAAGGGAACGCAAGGAGGCTTCTTGCCCTCCTGTGCCCTTGCTCCCACTGACTTGGGCAGCCTCCTGCGCTGCTGCTGGGTTGGCAGCTGCTCCCCACTCAGGACTCGGGAGCAGCTGTCCTCCAAAGCCCCATCTGTTGTGTTGGCCTGTTACGGTTCGTATCTGGATGTCCCCAGGCCTCATGGGCTCAGAGCTTGTGAAAAGTGATTGGATTACGGTGGCTTAGAGCCGTGTTAGTGCTGGGAGCTGGGGCCTGGGGGCCTGAGCTGGCTCCGCCCTTCTCAGTGCTTCCTGTCCACCATGAGGTGAGCAGCGATCCTCCGCCAGGCCCTTCCGCCATCGCCTCCTGCCTTGGAACAGGCTCACTCTGGACTGTAACCGTGAGCCAAGAGAAACCTCTCCTCCTCTAAGCTGTAGGTGTTGGGGATTTGTCTCTTTCCTTCCTCCCTTCCTTCCTTCTATCCATCCTTCCTTCCTTCCTTTCTGAGTTAAAAGCACTAAACTCCCTCCTCACCCCTGCATTCCCCATGTGAACCGTCCTTTAACCTTCCTTCCACCCTCTCACTACTGCCCTCGTGCTGGCCTTTACTACTCATGTTCACGATCCCAAGGCTCCACACTGGTTTCCCCCAGCAGCGTGATCCCTTTTCTGACGCTTGGAAGGATACCGACACACCTCTCCATTAGCACGGCCTGAGGACTTCCCCTGCCTGGGAGACAGAAGTGGGGCCAGTGCTGGTCCTGGTTTGGAACCACCCCACGGGGCTCCCCTCCGTCCGCTAGTCCCTTCCCCACGCGGGAGTCCCGCCCATCTCCGAGGCACCGCTCAGCGTTCCCTCCCTGCAGCTGTGGGGCTCTCACGGCCGCCTGCAGGTCGCTCTGTCCTAAGAGTCGACAATGTGTAACTTAGCACTTGCAAGTCTCAGGTGCTGGGGAAGAGCGGCCACTCCCTAAAGATGCGTTGGCCTCAGCCCTTCCCTGCCGGGGTTTCCACGGGACTGCCAGGAAACTCAGGGTGACTGGTGCCTGGCCGAAGGGTGCTGGACACACGGCAGGGGCAGTGGCAGAGGTGACAGGTGCAGCCACAGGACTCTGTGCGGAGCCCCTGGCCCCTCGGAGCCTCCTGCCCCGAGACCCGGCTGCCAGGTCTTTGGGACCCAGGGACTGACTGTTCTCCCATGCTCTCCAGGAACAGAATCCTTAGCCCCACGTTCTGACCTTTCTTTTCAACCCCAGCTGGTTTGCTCGCGTTAGTTCATGCACATGGGGCTCAAAGCAGGCCGCCATCTCCTGGGGTCGCCATCTCCTGGGGGCACATCTTCAAGAGCCAGGGGAGAGCCATTGCTCTGTGCAATCGCTAGGCACTCCAGGGAGGAAAAACCACGCAAAGAACCACAAACCCAGCGCCCCAGCTCCAGCAAACAAGGAGATTAGCCATTCATTCCAAATTACTTTTAATAATTCCTCCAGATAAGTAAATATGCCTCTGGCTAACTGCAGCACTGCACCATTCCCAGGACCAAGAGCCACTGCGCCTTTGAAAAGCTCTGAATTGTTGAACAGTCTGATCTCTTCCAGGGTCGGGCTCGGGCTTGGTTGCCAGTCTTGGGGAAGCATTTGGAGATTATGTGGCCTTAACACCAACACATGAGACTCAAGTCCCCCGAGGTGGTGCTTGACTGTACCATTTACTTTTTTTGTTTTGTTTTTTTTCCAGTACCAGGAATCGAACGCACGACCTTGCGCTTGCCAGGCAGGCGCTGTGCTGCTGAGCTAAATCCCCAGCCCCTGTACCATTTACTTTGAACACCTTTCCAAAACTGTCTGCCCACATAAACACATAAACTATACAGCAAGAGTGGGATGCCACAATGGTGTTTTAAGGAAAGAGGAGAGAGAAGGGTGTCTTTCTGTCTATCTATCTATCTATCTATCTATCTATCCGTCTATCTATCATCTATCTAATCTATCCATCATTTATTTATTTTGGTTTTTTGAGACAAGGTCTTGCTTTGTAGTGCAGCCTGGACTTGAACTCACTATGTTGCCCAGGCTAGCCTCAAACTCATGGTGATCCCCCTGCCTCAGCCTCCCAAGTACTGAGATTACAGGTGTGAGTCACCATGCCTGACTCATCATACTTTTTTACAGTGTGAAATGACACACTTTTAGCTCTTTCCACAGTAGTGAAGGTAGGCTTTACAGTGCCTGCACTTTTATGTACCAAGGCCTTTGAAGTATTACTGAAAACTGATAGTATAATTTAGTCAAATACAATCCAATTTTTTCCCCTTTTGCCTACCCCCACATCAAAACAACTGGTCTGAGAACAAGATCCAGAGCATGTTCATCACCCAGAATAGTGCCACAAGCCCCATCCCAGACAGACCATGCCCAGCCCACTTTAGTCGGCCTGACTTCGAGTCCTGTGTGCGTTCGGGTTGTTGAACATCACCTCCGTGGGTCCCACGGTGCGCACTCCCCTGGAGCTGCACTCTGCATAGCATCTTTCACGTTGCCCTTGTTGCTAAGTTCCAGCAGTGCAAACACTTTCAGTGCTATGTAGCAAGTTCACTGTATGATTCTACCATTATTTAGCAATTTTCTTGTTGATGGAAATTTGGTTGCTTCTGGTTTTCAGGTAAGACTATAGCTGCTAAGAACATTCTTGTTCAAATATCTTTATGTGAACACAGGAGTGTTTTTCTCTGGTTGTCAGCTTACAGACAGGGAGGAGACGAGTCCTAGGGAAGGGATATTTTGCTTTTCCTCAGAAAGTGTTGTTGGTCCTTACAGCATTAGCTTTTCTGCTAGGTGCATACTGGGACCCCACTGTGGTTTAGATTTGCCCTTCCTGAACAATGCTGCTATCTTCTCATACTCTTTTGTCCACTTGAATGTCTTCTTTGATGAAGTATTTGTTCAAGTCTTTTCTCATTTTTCACTAGGTTTTTCTTCTTAATAGTTTACAGGTACTTTTTACATATTCTGAATATGAAAACTTTATCAGATATGTATCACTGGTGTCTTGAGAACTTTAAATATTTGATAAAGGTCCATCATCAATTTTCTTCTTATATGGTTAATGCTTTCTAGGTTACAGAAAATCTTAGCCTGCTTCAAACTCATGAAAGCACTTTCTTACTCATTTCTAAATGCTTTACAGTTTTAGCTTTCATGTTTAGGCCTTAAGATACATCATGAATTATTTGTGTGTGGCGTGAGGTAGGGATCAAGGTTATGTTTTTTTCCCTCTATATGGATAGCTGTTAACAGTTTGTTTACTTTTCAATAGAGTATATTGTACAATTCTGAAGTGTTTTTTTCCTGAGACTCATTTAAAATACTTTTGTATCCTAACCTATATGATATTCAGTTTACAGATTTCTCGATACAAAAATTTATACCATAAAGTTAATATTTGAAATATGAACATTTAAGCCAGGCATGGTGGCACACACCTGTAATCCCAGTACCTTGGAAGCTGAGGTAGGAGGATGGCTGCAAGTTCAAGGCCAGCCTGGGATATGTAGTGAGTTCAAGGCTACGCTGAGTAATACAGAGAGACTCTGTCTCAAACTAACAAAAAAAAACCAAAACATATGAATATTTTAAAAATATCATCAGAGAAGAATAATTAAGGAATAATTTATTCTGGACAAATTTTATTCAACATTGCATTGAAATGTAATTCATTTATTAATCGAAGTCATTTTATGAAAGCAATGTATAGTCATTGTAGAAAATTTACAAGTTTTTTTTTGTTTCTTTTGAGACAAGGTCTCACTATACAGTTTAGGCTGGCCTTGAGCTCACTTTATAGCTCAGGCTGGTCTCAAACTTGCAACGATCCTCCTGCCTCAGCCTCCTGAGTACTGGGATTATAGGTGTGCACCATCACACCCGGATTCAAGTATTTTTACTATAGCTTTAAATATTTTTTTTGGCAGTTGTTATGACATTTTTTTAAAATAAAATTGCCCTTTGACCTTTGGCAAACAACCACAGCAAATACAGCTTTAGGTGTGATCTAACAAAGCACTTTACACTCAGCTCCAGATGAATTTCACGTGGGAAACAAGGCTTTGCGCCATCACTGCTGGGGTGATTATCTGTGATCGTGGTACGCACCCAGGGGAACCACCTGTGTCAGCCGACCACACGCTGCGGACAGGCCTGCAGACGGATGTCACTACTATGCGATCTGCCTCAGTCCTCACAACCAGTCTACACGTGGACGCTTGCCACCGTGCGTTTTGGGATAAGTGAGCTGAAGCGGGCGGTAGTGAAGAAGTCCCCAAGTCCATGGCAAGAAAGGGCTGAAACAAGGTCTGCCTGAATTCTGAACTGAAGCTCATCTCCCCACACAAAACCAATTTATTCAACGGGAGAAAAGTGGCATGTTAAGAACAAGGAAATTTCATACCTTGGGCCATTTCAATAAAGCAGAGGAGCCTTGGTCAGGCTACCCTGGGCAGGACAAAGGACGCTAACCCCACTGGGGAGGAGACCACTCCTCCGTCGTCCTGCCTCAGCCCCGCAAACCCTTCTCCCAGGTCCTCTAGGTAAGCACAGTCTTAGGAGGGCTGGTATCTAACAGGAAGTGCGCAACGCGCATTTCCTCACTGGATGAACTGAGCATAAACCAATGATCAATTAATTCAGGTCAAAGCAGAGAGGGAGTATGAAACCAAAGCAGGAAATAATTCAGAAGAATCTTCTTTGGCCAGGGATTTAGCTCAGTGGCACAGCGCCTGCCTGGCAAGCGTGAGGTCATGAGTTCAATTCCCGGGACAAAAAAGAAAAAAAAAAAGGAATCAATCTTCTTAGAGATTAACTGTGATTCCAATGGCTTGTTTAAATTCACGGTTTTGCGGTTCCAAAATGTCATAGAAAACTTTCTTTTTATCAAAATAGTCCCTAATGTAAAGTAAATCTTCAGTGGAATAGTTATCGTCCTTTCCAGTCCAAATGGTCAGGCTGTACCTGTAATCAAATAAAACACAACTCTGTAGTTAAAAGTGAAGGATCAGAAATAACAAGGCACAATCCCCCAAAGCCTAAAAATACTCTCATTTGTCTCTAAACCAAAGGTACGTGGGTAAAAATGTAATTAGTGATGGTGTGACTATACTTTCCTATTTCACTGCTTTTTCAACATCAGAGACTAAAGACAAAAAATATGCACAGAGCTATGGCCTCACTGCCTCGCCGCTCTCTGGGAACGGAGTGGCATTCGGAACCCAGAGGGAGCACCAGAAATGGGTCGGATTTGGGGAAGGACGTGGACAGTCTGCTCACCCAGGAAGTGCCCCAGCGGGACGCTGGCTTGCCAGTCCCGGGGTCAGAGGCTAGAGACTGCTGGTGGAAGAGGCCGAGGAGAAGCGGTGTGCGTCAGTGACCTCCCCACCTGTCCCGATGTCCTGTGGGTATATTTTGTATATCAGGTGTGAGAAAGTCAGGGGATGTCACTAAGAACAGCAAACAGAAAACATTTACACCCATCTGTGCAGTCAAAGAAACAACACATGTGTCTTATGGCTGTGTGCATACTCTCAGCATTGAAGCCTGATTTCCATGCCGCACTTCCATCCTTTCTAGGGAGCCTAATGCTGTCACGTGAGTCTCAGAAACACAAAGCCATGGAGCAGTTTCACACCTCTCGCTCACGGCCTGTGCACCTCCCCAAAGGTGGCTCGCATGACCCTCTGCACGTCAGGCAAGAACACACAAGACACCTGGTGTGACTCTGCTGGGCTAGGGAATGTGCTCCTCTTCGACACCTCTGGGTGCCACAAGACGGCAACTAAGGAGAGGCTCTCTGCATCCGGTCTGGCTCTGCAGGCTCAAAAGATGGCATAAAAGCAGGAGGAGTAGGAGGACAGTGAGTGCCTCCTGGGGAGGGAGCGAAGATGCCTGAGCCCGCCCCAGCCTGCCTATGATGAACTTCCTGTCTTGAACCTCAGTGGAACTGAAGGAGGCAACTACTCCTACAAACGTGGAGACAGTACAGGAGACCTCAGGGAACACAGAACATCAAGGAGCTATGATACCACTGAGAGAATTGGATCTGGGAGGAATGGGCACCTAAGAAATGCCTGCCAGAAGACTAAACGTTAGTGTTTGAAAGAAGCCCTGAAAGGTACAAGTGATCTCAGAAAATGAAATCAGGAAAAGAACATGTGAACATAAGAGAACATAAAATGAGAAGGTCAACAAAGAGATGCGCATCATGAAATAAGAACCAAACAGAAATCTTGGAAATGAATACCATGAATGATATAAAAAATATAATAGAGAGCTTCCCTAGCAGACACAATCAGGCAGAAGAGAAACTCTTGTGAATTGAAAGACAGGTTATGTGAAATTTTTTATGCAGAGATTATTTTTTTTGTTGTACTGGGAATCAAACTCAGGACCTTGCACTTGCTAGGCAGGTGCTTATGCCACTGTTATATCCCTGGCCCTTTACACAGAGAAGAAAAGAATAAAAAAATTAAAGAGCATGAAGAAGGTCCAGGAAAGGGTTGTCCTGAGGCAAACCAATATATGCATTATGGATTCCAAGAACAAGAAGAGAAGGAAAGGGACAGAAAGATTAAACAAATAATGGTGGAAACTTCCTAGTTTTTCTTTTTTTTTTTTTTGAGATCTGGACATTCAGATTCAGGAGTAGCACAAAGATCTTCAAACAGAATCAACCCAAATAGGATTGCACTGAGACATATGATAACCAAATTATCAAAAGTCAAAGATAAATAGTTTTGAAAGCAGCAAGACAAAAGCCACTTTGATAATACGCGAGAAACTCCGTGAGCTATCTGTGGGTTTCTCAAGAGAACCTTGCAGGCCAGGAAAGTGGAATGATACATGTATAGCACTGAAATACAAAGACTGTCAACCAAGACTACTATACTAGCAAAGCCGTCCCTTGGAAATGAAGGTAAACGCAGACTTTCTCAGACAAACACAAGTGAGACAATTCATTACCACTCAGGCAGCTGTGTAAGAAGTACTAAAGAGAATTCTTTAAATTGAAATGAAACCATGTTAAATAGTAACATGAAAATGTGAAAATATAAACCTCCCTGGTAAAGTCAGCATACAGTAACATGTGGAACACTGTTATACAGCAAGGGCTGTGTGGATGCGACGAAGATGCAGAAAGATTTTAACTTGTATAAACATTAAAAGTTGGCATTAAAAACATACCTACAAAAATGTGTTAATATGTGTATGATATGAAAATATACAAACTGACATGGATGAAGTAAAATGTGTGTGTAGGGGGAGTAAAAATACAGTTTTTAATATGTGAATGAAGTTTGCTATCACCTTAAAACAGGCTGTCATGGCTGTTAAATTGTTTTATGTAAGCCTCAAGGTAATCACAAACAAGAAATTTCTAGTAGATCCACAAAGGATAAAGTGAAGAGAATAAAAGTACCACAGTAAATAAAATACAACAAAAATACCACAGTAAATAAAATACAACAAAAATACCACAGTAAATAAAATACAACAAAATCTAAATCACAAAGGAACTAACAGAAGAAAAAACAAAGTAACCAAAATCCAGAAAACAACGAACAAAATGACAGTAGTCAGTTCTTATCTATCAATAATTACTTTAAATATAAATGGGTTAAATTCTTCAATCAAAAGACACAAGCTGGCCAAGTGGATAAAAAGCAAGATCCAAAAATATATTATCCACAGAGACTTGCTTTCTCTCTAACGGCATGCCCAGGTTAAATAGAGATGAAAATAAAAGAGGGAGTCCCAGTTACAAGAGCACCAAAAAGGATGAAATACTTAGTAATGAACTTAATAACGAAGGTGAAATAGCTCCATATTGAAAGCTATAAAACATTAACGAAGCACAAATACATAGGAAGTTATCATGCAGTCAGGGCTTAAAGAATGAACATTATTAAAATGTCTCTGCCATCCAAAGCAATCTACAGAATCAATGACATCCCCATCAAAATACAATTGACTTTTTTCATAGAAATAGAACAATCAACCTTAAATTCACATGGAACCATGAAAGACTCAAATACTAAAGCAATCCTGAGCAAGAAGGAAAAAGCCATGAGGGCCACACTCCTAACTGAAAATCACATTTAGAAGCCACAGCAATGAAGACCATGGCACTGGTGTAAAGGCAGACACACAGACAAATGCAACGGGACAGCAGCCTGGAAGTAAACTTACAGGTTTACTGTGAACCGAGCCTTAACCAGAAAGTCTACAAATATAAACATCCAGTTACAAAACAATAAAGCTAGGATTTATTAAATTCAAAAATTTAAAAGATTCTATTATTTAGATGCCTCAACATTTCTAAATAACTTTTGAAACAAAAGAGAAAAAGCTATAACTGCAGAATATTTATAAATTAAAAGTGATGAGGGGTTGGGGATTTAGCTCAGCGGCAAAGCGCCTGCCTGGCAAGCGCAAGGTCGTGAGTTCGGTTCCTGGTACCGGAGAAAAACCAAAAAAAAAAAAAAAAAGTGATGAAAAGATATATAAAAGAAGATAGGATGCAGCTAAAATAATGCAAAAACTGAAACCAAAGCAGAATTTAGAAAGGTAAAAGGCAGAAATGAATGAGTCAGAAGCCAGAAAAAAAGTACATCTAGGAGCTGATTTTTTAAAAAAGCACATAGTCTAATCAAGAAACAGAAAAGCTCAAATAAACAAACTAAGGAAATTATATTAAAGACATAGGAGAAACTCAGAGAGTAATAAACTACTCCAGTCATAAATTAATTAATTAATTAATTGTCTTTTTGAGACAGGGTCTCACTATGTAGTTCAGGCTGGCCTTGAGCTCACTTTGTAGCGCAGGCTGGTCTTGAACTCACAACGATCCTCCTGCCTCAGCCTCTCGAGAGCTGGGATTGCAGGTGAGCGCCACCACACCTGGCTATTCCAGTCATAAATTTAAAAACATGGGCGAAATGAATAATTTTCTAGAAAATATAATTTATGAAATTGGCTTCCAGAGAGAAAGAAGGGGCTGGGGATTTAGCTCAGTGGCAAAAGCGCCTGCCTGGTATGTGCAAGGTCGTGAGTTCGGTTCCCGGTACCAGAAAAACCAAAACAAAAAAAAGAGCCCAGAGAGAAAGAAAACAGAAACAAACCACCGGGCACAAGGCAAACAGAAAGGTCCTTCCAGGTGAGCTTTGCCAGAGGCTCCGGTCCAGACAGACTCACTGTGGACCTCAGCACAAGGCCGTGCAGTGTCCCCGGAGCTGGCGGCCCCTGCCAGTGCCTGGTGGGCACACAGAGCATGCTCACACCAGCAGCCCTGGGGCAGACACTGGGGTGTGGGCAGAGCACCTGCTGGCACCCCACAGCCAAGTGTGTGCCCTCCGGCTGGGCACGGGGACTGCAGACCCGGCCGCCTGCAGCAGGGATCTCTCCGAGTGCTCCTGGGCCCAGCGGCTTCTAGAAGCTCGGGCATCAGGATTCGGAGGGCCTGCTTCCTCTGCCCCCGGTTTGCTGATAATGGCATGCCTGCATTTTGCTGTTGTTATCCTTGTTGTTCCGCTGATACTTTGGATATTTTCTGGGTAAAGAAGTGAGACTGGGAACTAAGCTTTGGCCAGGTGCCTGCTTGAGCCAGAAGGTGTCATTATGCACAGGTGATGCCAGGCACGGCAGAAGCGTCAAAGGAAGACTGTGCTTTGTGCTTGCCTGATCAAGACTAAAAAGAAAAACAATGCCCTATCTCAGCAGAGCAGATACACCGTGAGGAGCGGGGACTGCCCCTCTTCCTGGCTCCGACCAGCAGGGCAGTCTCCACTGCTTGTGCTGGAACACAACGGCCAACTATGTCACCGCCATCGTGGTCCTGGCCCAGCAGGACGCTGACGCTGCCCTGTGGCAGCGGCCCCCTCCTGGCGGCACAATCCCTAGAGCACTACTGCCCGAGATGAAGGCCTTGTCGGAGTGTGGTGTTCCTGGGGACCTCCTGGGAAGGGGTCTCACCCTAGAATGGTTCACTCTGTGCTCCTGCAGAAGAGGAGAGCACACACACGGCAGGCGAGGTCTGCAGACAGTCAAAATCCCTCTATTCCTTCGGCAGCTTCTACAGCTACACTCCCTCTTCCAAAGGTGCTGGCCTCTAGCGCCCTCCATGGTTAAAGGCGCCTGTGTGCAGTCGCATTTCCTCTTTAAATGTTAGCTAAACTCCAGTGATGTGCTAACAACTCCCCAAGGTTGAGGGCTCCAGAGGGTGCCATAAACAAGACTGCGGCCTTCATGCAGCGCAGAAGCATCAGACAACAAGCGGTCACCAGCAGGAACAAGAGCACAACACCAAGGCCCCCGCAGGGGTAACTCTCACCTGCAGTCTTCCGGGTAGACTCTCCCTCAGATTCTGCCGTGAGCCACTGTCAGCCTACGCGACTAAAAAGCTCAGAACTTTTGCCGTAGTATTAGGAAAAACAAATTCATTGTTTCTTCCTATCTCAGAGGAAATAAGCCCCTTTAAGACCATAAAAATGACAGTGTTTTATAGTTTTTTTTCTATAGCGTAATTAGAGATATAATCACATGCCAGAATTAGAAACTGGGTGAAAATGATTCTATATGCAGTTAAATGACAGAGCTCTGTGAGTCCAGTGATTCACCATGACCGTTTGAAAATCATGTTTCTCCTTCTCTTCCTCCTCCTTTTTAGTATTATTATTACCATCTTGCGGAGGGATGCTGGGGATTGCACCCAGGGCTTTGCACATGCTAGGCAAGCTGAGCTATACCCTAGCCCTCACTGTGACACGACTGCACCCCAGCCTCAGCCCTGTGTCCCTGCCCACGTGGCCAGTCTTGCTGTGCTATCATGTTGCCATGGAAACCAAGGCCACCAGTACTGGGTGGGTCTCTCCAATGGGGGTGTGAGGATGAACTCTCAAGGGTTCCAGAGTTTTCTGTGGGAATTTAAATTTTTAATTTAATTTAAAGCTTTAATTTCAATGATCACTTTTAAAAAATTACTGTAGTATGCTGTTTGATTTCAGTGTAGCTCTCTAACACTAATGAAAATAAAGGCAGAGGGAGCGTTAATAAAGAAATGATATGTCTGCAGCAGGGGACTGTCCATAGGGCCACAGGATGGTATATGAACGAAGGTCCCCAGGGTTGAGGAAATCCTTTTTACTGCAGTTAGCCAGGATAGGTTGCAGCTGTCTGTCCTGTAGCTAAGAGCCCAGCTAGAACTGTGATGGAACCATCTGTGATTTCTCTTTAAGCATATGACATCCACTGATACAAATGATTCGGTTCAATTCACTTCTACTCCTATTCTCATATATACAGGCAAATGCAATTGTACTACACCTTCCATGCTACAGCTTACATTATTCACCTGACAATACTGTCTTAGCATCTCAGTTGGAGCACAACCAATTTCTCCCCTGTCCCATCTTTGCAGGCCACAACCTAACTGGCAATTCCTTTCTGGCCAAACTGAAAATATTTCAAATCATTCTTCCGGGCTCTTTGCTCTTGATCCTCAACATAGATCTGGCTAAAAGCCCCCAACAGCAGCCAGGCTACAGCATCAACATTAGACTGTCTTGAAACTTCTTCTGCAAGATTAACTAGTCCACTACCCTTAATCTCAGTCTCAGGCAAAGTCTCTGGATGCAAGTAAAATGCAGACAAATTTTCAGCCAAGGTATAACACACATGTTCTAGAGTCCAACAGCCAATGAAGTCCTCCTTCCCAACAGAAACCTCCTGAGCCTGTTCTTTACCAGAAGTATTTCTATCAGCATTCTGGTCTTCTGAGCTTTGCCCAGGATCTCCCATCAAGTACAGCTTCAGGCATTATAGGGCTGCTTTTTTGGCTGGCATCTCCAAACCTTTCCAAGCACTTCTCACAAGCCAGTTTCAAATGCTTCTGAACCACATGGTCAGGTACAGTCACAGCAACAACCCCACTCCTGGTACCGAATTCTGTCTTAGTTACTTTTCTCCTTACTGAGACAAAATAGCTGACATCCAAAGTTAAAGGAAGAAAGGCTTATTTTAGCTCACAGTTTGTAGAGGTTTCAGTTCATAGTTGGCTGGCTCCACGGCAGGGTGGCATGGCACAGGGGGGATCAGAGAGGAGAAATAGGTCATAGGAGGCAGAAAATAGCAAAAGCAGCAAGCTCCAATTCCAAGTGACCTGTGACAAGCCTCTTTATATCCATTATATCCTTTCCAGGGTAGCACTCACACCTTAATGCTAGTGCCCTGCATCCTAGCATTGCACCATGAATCAATCCCAGCATCACCTACTGTAGATCCAGCCACCTTGGAAAACCTCCACATACGGTCACAAGAGGCTTTGCGGGAGGGGTGTCTAGCTACAAACCATAATAAATGACATTTTCCAAGCATCTTCTATGTGCAGAAGGTTCTGTGCAGAATGGAGGGGAAGACACAATGTTGAATCAGTGCAGGTTCACCTCGGTGCTATGACTCATGCACACAGTCAGTTGTCTCCGTCTCTGTCTCTCCCTCTGCACACACTGTCTCTCACAGGTACACATACTAGCTGTGAGGCGAACGCATACCTGTCTGATCTCTTAAGCAGCCAGAGTAACTGGGGACAGGACTGTCTGACCAGCACCGCCCGGACAGGAAAGGTCACAGGCTGACTCAGCCCACTGCATATGGACTCCATCTCTCTCACCATGGCCCAACTGTACCCTGAAAGGAGAAAGAAGAAATTAAAGTTTCTGACTGGACTCTGGAAAATCAATTTAAAAGGTTAATTACCTATGAATAAGTAAATCTACAGACAACTTAGAGGGAAATTTATAGACAACTCATGAAAATTTCCACTTGTATTCAGAGTGAATTAAAAGATCACTTAAGTCAAGAAAATAATTTGAGTGGAAAATGTAGATTTTAAAAATCTAGGGAGGGAGCTGGAGATATAGCTCAGCAGCACAGCACCTGCCTGGCAAGTGCAAGGTCCTGAGTTTGATTCCAGGTACAAAAAAAAAAAAAAGAAAAAAGAAAAGTCTAGGGAGGGGGAACGCCCGCCATGGTGGAGCACGCCTCTAATCCCAGCAGTCCGGAGGCTGAGGCAGGAGGATTACTGTGAGTTTGAGATCAGCCTGGGCTACAAAGTGAGCTCAAGGCCAGTCTGAACTGCATAGCAAGACCTTGTCTCAAAAAGACAAACAAACAAAGAAACAAACAAACTAGGGATGAGGGAAGGGAAAAGGAAAGAAGGGAAAAGTCAAAAAAATGAGAAGAGAAAAACAATGGAAACAAAGTTTTTGTAAATGGGGAGGGGAGGAGGGATTGAAGGGTAGGTAGGAGAATGGGACAAAAAGAATCAAGTTATGTCATGTACAGGTGCAAATTCTCTATGATAAATGTGATCATTATATATACCTAAAATATAACAATAAATTTTTTTTTTTCTGTCTTTTTGAGACAGGGTCTCACTATGCAGTTCAGGTTGCCCTTGAACTCACTTATATAGCCCAGGCTGGCCTTGAACTCGCAAAGATCCTCCTGCCTCCGCCTCCCGAGTGCTGGGATTACAGGCGTGTGCCACCATACCCAGGTGCCAATAAAATCTGGTTGGAAAAAATAAAAATAAAAAAATAAAAGTACATGCCCATGATTCTAGCATTTGAGAGGCTGACACAGGAGGATCACCAGCTCAAGGCCTGCCTGGACTACATAGTGAGATCCTGTCTGAAAAACTAAGAACAACAGTGAAAAACACGCCCTGCTGGGGCCAGAGGGAGTCGCACACTGGTTCAAAGTGCACTGGTTCAGCATGAACTTCACAGGCACAGGCCCTGGGTTCAGTCTGCAGCACACAGAAACGCTTCCACTGATCTTTCCAGTGCAGAGACACACATCCAACACTATTTTATTTACCTTAAATGGTCTAAGGCTCGGCTTTTAGGTACAAGTGGGTCCTTAGTATTCTTTTTGTTTTATTCATTTGTTTACTCATCTGTGGTACTGAGGGATGAAACCAGGACCTATGTGCTGAGCAACATCTCAACCCTCCTTTATTATTTATTTTGAGACAGGCTCTCACTAAGTCTCTAAGTTGCCCTGGATGGGCTTGTAATCTTCCTGCCTCAGCCTCCTCCCAAAGTACTGGGATTATAGGTGTGTACCACATCTGGCCCTCATATTGTTTATAAACTGAGATTTTCTATTTATGTTGGCTAAATTTTCTTTTCCAAGAAAAGGGGGCCCCTAGATATTTACCAGTTGTGTGAGTAAGAATTAACTTTTTTTTTCGGTACCGGGAATCGAACTCAAGACCTTGCGCTTGCCAGGCAGGCGCTGTGCCACTGAGCTAAATCCCCAGCCAAGAATTAACTTCTGCTTTCTTTGGGGTATGCCAAATGACTTGCACATTTTAGCTAAAGCAGAAGCAGCAGTCAAGCTGACTATAAATCATGTTAAGACACGCAGAAAATAAACTTGCCTATTCATGAAGAGCATCAAAAACAAGTTTTAAAAAAATCATCCTAAACTCTGTCAAAAGTTAGGCTGTAAAGTACAGGGGAGTAAGGAACATTTAAAAAAATTCTAAGTGGATATGGTAGTTTCGCAGCTGAATTTCTGATAAACAAATTCTCTTTTCTTTAAAACTTAGGAGACACAATTTCTATTATTAGAAGGGACTGCTAACAGGAGCAATGCCTCAAGTACAAATCTATGAAGTCTAGACCTTCAAATCTGCACCGTGAGAAGAGAGCGAGGGAAAAGCCCAAGATGCTGACTGCGGGGTGGGGGCTGGGGGTCGGGGAGGTGAGCTAAGGCCAAGGTCAGCCCCGCGGTGACCCCGGGGCAAGGTCAGAGAGGAGGTGCTGGGCGAGTCCTGTTTATCTTCCTCAGCTTTGGCCCTGCGCTGCACTTCCATGGCAGGAGCGCACAGGTGAACTGGGGGAGCGTTCCCATGGGGCCGCTACCTCGCTCGGCTCCCACCCTGCGGGTCAGCAGGGCCGCAGCCGCAGGAGCGCTGCTCGTGGGACCTCGGGCTGACCCTGAGCGTGACACCCGGGGCCAGGAGGACTCAGCCGGGAGCACCTGCTGCCTGTGTGCAAGGCTCTGGATCCCATCGCCAGCGTGGCAAAAAAGAATCACAAGGCCGGGCGTGGTGGCACCCACCTGTAATCCCAGCACTCGGGAAGCTGAGGCAGGAAGATTGTTGTGAGTTCGAGACCAGCCTGGGCTACAAAGTGAGCTCAAGACCAGTTTGAACTGCATAGTGAGACCGTCTGAAAAAACCAAAAAAAAAAAAAAAAAAATCACAGAAGACAACAGGCGGGCATCAGAAGACAGGGAGAGAGGTTTTCTGGAAACCGGAAGGGGACCTAGGAACAGAGGGTGGCGGGGCGGGAGGCGGGGAAGGCGTGAAGATGCGTTCTGCGCATGCGCCCAAGCCCCATGCATGCACGCACTGCGGCTACCCACGTGGACCAATAAGAAAATTAAATAAACATTCACAGCGAATGAGTAAAAAGTGAACGCCTGCCACCACAGGTAAAAGCTGGGATCGCACAGCCCCAGGACGCCGGTCTAGCTGACCATCTCCATCCGGTGGACAGAGGCCCAGCGCATCCGCTTGGCCTGTGGCTGGTGACCTGGAAGTCACCACCAGGGGACACGGGCAGAAGCGGAGAGACGGGTGCCCGAGGCCGCAGCAGTCGAACCCACTGTGCGAGGTGTGCATGGAAGGAGGGACGCAGCCCGCGGCTCGCCGTCCTGGGCGGCCAGAGAGGGCGTGGTTGGTGTCCAGGGCCGAGCACGAGCCCCGCAGCCTGCAGGTCAGCTGGGAAACTTCCCTGTGCCTCCTCAGAGGTATGGCAGGAAGGCCAGCCTAGAAGGGGGCACGCTCAAAGAGACCAGCTCGGCATGCGTCGGGGCCACTTTGTCCTTGCAGACGTCCCCATAGAAGCTGGTGACAGAGGCCACCGTGAGTACAGGGTCCTCCTGAACTAACAGGCGGAAGCTATCATTTGGGGAATGTGCTTTGGCTGTGTATCAAAGACGGTATTTTTATAACTGACGGCTATTTTAATCTGACCAACGATGGAGTCACGATTAGAACCATCACCTTCGTTGGTTTTCTCTGGATGCCATTCTGTCGTCCAGCCCAAGGACAGCGTCACTGCCGGAAAGAAGGACGTCACGGTGTCTATAAAGGGCTTTGCGTCCACGACGGTGCTGCTTCCACTCGGACCAGGGAGGACATCGGCGTTAATCCACACGGGGCGCTGCAGGTGACCTCTCACCGCATTCAAGAGGGCCATGGCGGGCTCTACCGCTTCCAGGCTGGGGCACAGTGCATGGTCAGCACGACACAGGATACCGAAAGTCTTAACAGTTTACGGTTCTCAAATTCATAACACAAATAAAAGGCAACAGCCCTGAACTAAACAGAATCCAAGATCCCTCAGCACCAGGAGGGAAAGGTAACATGTTCCATGTCTCACGATTTTTTTTTTTTTTTTTTTTTAAATCTTTTTGAGACAGTGTCTCGCTGTGCAGTTGAGGCTAGCCTTGAACTCACTTTGTAGCCCAGGCTGGTCTCGAACTCACAACGATCCTCCTGCCTCAGCCTCCCACATGCTGGGATTACAGGCGTGCGCCACCACATCCGGCTCATGTCTCACAATTTGGGTCTACACTTCCTACTCATGCAAGGGACTTCTGGGGTCTGTGTAGGGTAAATGATGCCAGTCCTTGGGGATTAGAGAGAGGTCTCCAGTTCCACATCAGGGTCAGCGACTATGGGACAATTCGGAAGAGACACACGCTCACTCATCAGAGTGCGCAGACGGGACCACAAACCAAGCCCTCACAGCCTTCACGTCTGCCCCCAGGGAACGCCCGGTGCCCAGCCCTGCGTCTCTGAGGCAGCTGTCAGAAAGAGACCTTCCTTCCCTTTGGAGATCTGCCGGGGAGTCTGGAAGCATGAACACATTCTAAAAATGACTGCGAAGTACAAAACCATATGTCCTTAAAGCGTTCATAAATTCCACTTTTCCTTTTATTGTGAGCACCTTTTTTGGAAAGTGGAGACAAAGGTATTTAGTTATTTAAAATTGAAAAGCAGCTTCTCATTCCTTTTCTTTCCTTTTTTATATCCTAGCTGATAGCTACAGACATCTGAACAAGGTTTTATTCGGCCTAGGTCGCTTTTACTTTTTAAACAACTGTGGCCCAACGCTGAGGATCAGCTTGATGTGGTGCAGAGCGGGCAGTCATGAACAGTAATAAATTGGCACAAAAATAAATTGAGAGGCTGTCCTAGGCCTACATGACTTGTGGCGAGGCCCCCAGCTGGCTTAGGACAGATTAATCTTTGCGCCAATGGCCAGAGCCGAGACCAGCAAACAGTCTGTGTGGTTCTGGTGCCTCAAAGCAAGCTGACATGGCAGCTGAGGCCTGGACTCGCACAAATCCCGTCGAGCTCAGTAGTTGCCGTTAGCAATCGGGTTACCAGTTACCCCGATCTGCTCCCATATGCTTTTCCAGAAATGCATCGTTCCTTAATCCCTGAACCTTGACTACATTAGCGGTTCACCCCACTGCGTCCTGCAGCCACCAGCACCCCACAATCACGCAGTGCCCCTAACAAAGGCCAAGGACACCGTGCCTAGCCCGTCACTGGGCTCTAACCATCCTAGTGCCCCTTGTAACTGAGAAATGTACCTTGTCTGTGTTTTATTCTGTCGCTGTACCCCTGAGCAGGAGCTCAGTGCTCATAGGCTGGGGCCCCAGTACCCAGACTCTAAGGGTCAGCCTCCCCACTTGCAATTCTGTCTTCTGAATTCTAAGATGGGTGCTTCTGTCCCTTAGAAGTGCTCATGACCAAGACAGTCGGCCTGCAGGGAAGGCCGGAGGACGTGGGGCCCTCTCCTGGGGACAGAACACCTCTGGGCTCCGCTGTCCTTTCATGGATGGATCCTCTCAGGAAGCTGCATGGAGCCCAGGGCCCGTGCTCTGCCACTCCATCCTCCTCCCTCTTCTACGGGACATGCAGGCCCAGTGTGGGGACTAAGCCCTGGCACTGGACCTGCCCACTCTGACCCGGATGTTGCCATTTCTGTCTCAGACGCTCCCGGACTTGTGTTACATCAAAGCCATGCCAGAACCACAATTCTGGAAGTCCAGGGGCACCGTGCACCCACGCCTGTGCGCCGATGCCTGCACCGGCAGAGGCACGGGGTGAGGGGCACGGTCAGCCCCACGGCCCCTGGCGGCCTTCTTGGCCCTGTAAGGCTGCCAAAGCCCTGTACTCTTTTGAGGCAACTCAATTTGAAAATATGACTCAGAGATGAGGCAGGGGACCCCCATCCTGGGGTTCAGTGGCGGTGGCCTCCCCGCCCGCTTCACCTGTAATTTGTACAGTGCCAAATGTGACAAAGGCAAGCTTTCCTGGGATGGCCACAGCGACCCAAAGGACCCCTCATCTTGCTCTTTGTTATAAATGCTCCAAAATGGCCAGGACACTCTGGCTGTTGCAGAACAGCCCTTTACAAACGCGACCTCAGTCAAATCAGGCACGCGTTCACCATTTGGACAAATCTCCCCCAACTCTCTCAGGCAACTTGTTAGCGAAGAAGCATTTTTTTTTTTTTTTTTTGGTTTTGGTTTTTCTCCGGTACCAGGAACCGAACTCACGACCTTGCGCTTGCCAGGCAGGCGCTTTTGCCGCTGAGCTAAATCCCCAGCCCCGCGAAGAAGCATTTTAACTCACACCCTGTCACCACAATGCGCACCACCGGAGCTGCCCTAAGAACTCACAGTAGCCTCACAGGGCGGCAAGAAACAATTTTTGCGAAGAGCTCCGTGGGTCCGCAGTCCATTCCGGAAACATCTGCAGGCCACACCTGCTTTTCCAGTTGGAAGTGCAATCATCCCTAGCCAGGCGGGCGGGTCACTCCCCGCCAGCCGCTCTCAGGGAGGCTGCGCGTGCACCTACCTCTTGAAGTCCAGCTTGATGCCTTTGGTGCTGGGCAGGAGCGCGGCCAGCCAGGCCTGCAGCGAGTTGTCACTGTGGGTGTCCGGGGGATGCGCCATGACGGGCTGGCCGCACTCCGAGCCGGCGCTCCCGAGCAGCACGTCGGCTTCCACCATGTGGGCGGCACCTGGGGAGAGAGCCGGGTTCCAGGCCGGGATCGCCCTGGGCGGAGCGGAAAGCGAGGGAGAGCTGGGGCTTCCAGAGAGCTACCAAGGTCTAACCGCGCCCCGCCCGCCGACCTCCCCAGGACAGGGGGCGCGCTGAGTCTGCGGGAAGTGTTTTAGGAAGAGAGAGTAGTATTTTCATCTTCGCAGTCCTTCAATTAGATACCATGGCTGTATGTTGCGCACATTGGAAAGTCCATGTTAAAAACGCGTCTGCTGGATTTCGGGTTTACCTACTGCGTGGGAGCAGCAAGCTGCCCTGGGCTTAGGGTGACCGTGTTTAGCGCACGGAGGCCCAAGAACCTGCCCGAGATGGAGGCGACACTGCTCTCCCGCTGCCTTTCCCTCCGCACCCAGCAGGCCAGCAAGGACAGACCAGGTCAGATTAGAATTTCCCACCCGCAAAAGGCATCAAGGAGGAGTTCAGAAAATGGAAAGATGTCCCTCGCTCATGGACAAGAAGAACCAACACTGTGAAAATGGCCATACTCTCAAAACTGTCATACAGATTTATCACAACCCTGATCAAAATACCATTAGCATACTTCACAGAACTAGAGAAAACATTTCTAAAATTCATCTGGAACCAGAAGAGGGCTAGCATAACAAAGGCAATCCTGGCCAACAAAGGCAAGGCAAAAGGCATCAATCCCTGACTTGAAACTATACTACAAAGCTATTATGGTAAAATCAGCATGGTACTGGCAAAAAGCAGAGCTGAAGATCAATGGAACAGATTAGAAGATGCTGACACAACTACAAGCACATTCAGCCACCTTATCTTTGACAAAGGGGTCAAACATATTAACTGAAATAAAGATAGCCTCTTTAATAAGTGGTGCTGGAAAAACTGGCTCTCCACATCCTAAAGACTAAAACTAGGCCCATGTCTATCACCATGCACTAAACTCAAGTCAAAATGGATCAAAGCTCTAAATATTAAAACAGAAACACTAAATCTACTGGAAAAGAAAGTAGGTATAAATCTTGAAGACATAGGGGTAGGCAGAGAGTTCATGAACAAAAACCAAACTGCATGGGAAACACTTCAAAGATTCAACAAATCTCATCTTATTGAAAAGTTTTTGCACATCAAAAGAAATCATCAACAGAGTAAAAAGAAAACCCATGAATTGGGAAAAAATTTTAAGCAACTGTCCCTCAGACAAAGGACTTCTATCAAGAACATATAAAGAATTATAAAAAATCAGGCCCCCAAAATTCAAAGATCCAATAGAAAATGGGCATATGAGATGAATACACACTTCTCAGATGAAGAAATACAAATGGCAAATAAATATATGAAAAAATGTTCAATATCATTGATCATTTGAAAAATACAAATTAGAACAACACTGAGATTCCATCTCACCCCAGAATGCACGGCTTTCATTAAGAAATCAACCAACAACAAATGCTGAAGGGGCTGTGGGCAAAAAGGAACTCTTCTCCTTGGTGGGAGTGTACACTGGGGCAACCACTGTGGAAATCAGTGTGGAGACGACTCAAAAAGCTAGGATTAGAGGTCCCATTTGACTCAGCTATTCTCCTTCTGGGTATTTTCCCAGAAGAAATGAAAACATCCTACCACAGCGATATATGTGTACCCATGCTTTTCACAGCACATTTTGTCATAGCTCAATCCTGGAAGCAACCCAAATGTCCACCAACTGAGGAATGGATAAAAAGATGTGACTGTACAGCTAGAGTACTACTCAGCTGTAAAGAAAGACAAACTCGAGGCTTTTATAGGTAAATGGATGCAACTAGAGACCATACTCGTAAGTGAAATACACCAGACTGACATGTATAAATTTCATATTGTCCTCCTAGTGTAAGAAACTGAAAGAGTAAGTAAGATCCAAAAGGTACAACAGATATTGTGAAAGGGAAAGAAACTGCTCAAAAGGAAAGAACAACTGGGATGAGGGAAAAGAGAAAAGAAGGAAGGGGGAAATAAAGAACATACATGTATATAAACACAAGATAGCTAAGATAATTGTACTACTAACTTCTATTAGTTCACTGCAGGGAACAGTTAAGGCTTATATTGTTTGATCAATTTTGGGTGCCTGTATCTGGTAATCTGAGCAACTACTTTGAAGATAACAATATGCAATATAGTAATATTGTTAATTTCCTATCATCTTGTTTTGAAATTCTGTGTCTTTTTTTCTCTTTAACATAATAAAGAAAGAAAGGAAGCAAGCAAGCAAGACAGACTTTCTCAGGTGAGCACACGCCCGACCTACACCCCAGGGGACCGCAGAAGGAGCCACCGGACTCACAGAAGAATCACGAGAAGCGATGAAGCCTGACCCCAGTTTCCGTGGCCTGGTCCACTGTGACAGGTGGCAGAAATGGCTGTCTCGGCGTGGCACGTTGCCGTAACAACCCTGGAGGGAAGGAAGTGAGCAGGCAGAGGAGGTCACGGAATCGGAAAAGCTGAGGATTCTTCTGCACAAAGCTGTGGACACAAGTCAGCCTGACGCAGGAGTGAAACTCCTGCCGCCCTGGCTAAGATCGAGAGGGCATCTCATGAAGCTGGAGATCTGCTATGGAGATGTCAGGAAGAAACGTCAAAAACACCAGCTGGCTTCTCTTACCTGACTGTGATAAAGAGCCGAGAAGGACAAGCTGAATCCTTGTTTCAGGCCACGTACACAGGGAATCTTTCCAGGGAAGGCCCCGGGACTACATCCTCGTTAAAGGCTGAGCTCCTCATTAATTGCCTTTTAAATTTCAACCTCAGTGTGTCCGGGACACACATGCCAACCACAGCGCCTCAGGCAGATACGGCTTCAGTGTCAATACCGAGCCAACGTGCGACCCCGAACCCACGCTAAGACCTCAGAGCGGTGGTGCCTCACACAGCCGCAGCTGCCTGCAAGGAATGCTACAATGGTAAGGGCGCTGCTGCCCCAGGATGTGCAGGCCAAAGCACGGAGAAGACACCTGGGGTCTCCCTTTCTTTACTGGAGGAGTTGTCGATAGTTTGATGCACAGAAAAGCCTCCTATATTTTTATGGGCAACAAATCTGCTTGGACCCAAAGGAAGAGAAATAGCTCAAAAGGCAAAGAGGTGTGTGAGCTCCCACATTCTCTAGTCCGAAATGGTCTGAGAAGCTAACAGGAGCCACTCCCCATGAAATGCACAGAGGCACCCCGTCTTTTAGGGAAGACAAATCTAAGCCAGTTCACACACACAGATGACTATTAAAACAAGAGAGCACAGCACCAAGTGCGGCAGAGACGGGGGCAAATCGGAACTTGTATACACACCACCAGTGGGGATGGAAGAAGGCGCTGCTGTTTTGGGAAAATGTGGCAGTTCCTTAAAAAGTTAAGCGCGATGACTGTGGCCCAGCAATTCCACTAGCCACAGAATGCGAGAGTACATGACCGTTCTTGACAGCTGCATACACAGTGGCAAAGAAATGGAAACAACACTATTGTTTATCCGTGGATGAATAAATAAGCACAGCACAGTACAGCCACTGGAGAGGATGGAAGGATTCTGCTGTGAAAAAGGCATGAGGTGGAGCACCTGCCTAGCGTTTGTGAGGCCCTGGATCCCAGCCCCAGTCATGGGAACAAGAAGAAGAAGTAATAGCCACGGAGCACAGATCCGTGTTAGAAGATCAGTGAACACAAAGAACACGCTGAGTGTGAGAATCCAGACACAGGAGGCGGCGTAGGAAGGAGAAGTACGAGGGCCCACCCTGAAGTTTGACTTGGGGCCAGGAACCTGAGAAGTGGCACTTTTTCAAGCAGCGGCAACCCAGTTGATACTAAAGGACCCGTCAGGGGACCGCGGATGGCGTGCCTGTCCCAAGTCCGCGCGGGGAGGCCCGACTCACTTCTCAGCGCCTCCTCCATCCGCGCCCTGTGATTGGCACCGTGGTACCAGGTGATCTCCGCGCCGTCTTCTGTTGAGATCTGGCGATTTCTCAGGAAATAGTCCAGGACATTTTCACTCCAGCATCCTGCAATCAATAACGGTATCTGCATGAAAAAGAATACTGTTTCTTAGGGCGTGAATGTGATAAATGAAAATTTCATGGCGTATATTTAGGCCAGGCAGCAGGACAGGATGAGACACACGCTGATGACCAAGGGCTGTGTGAAGGAGGCCTGTAACAGGTGCCACCAGACACAACAGCCGTGGTATACACTTGTGGCGAGAACGGCTAGACGGTGCTCAATTTGCGTAGCTGCCACGGATGTGCAGCGGGACTCCCTGCGGTCCTCTCGCTCTGCGCTGCTCCTAGCTTTGCCGCCCCACACTCCGTTCTCACCGTGCACCCTCTTGTCTGCACCTCTCGTCCCTGCCCAGAGCAACCACTGTTTTCTTCCCTCTCCTGTACACTTGATTCTTTTAGGACACAAACATTAAATGAGGTCGTGCATTTCGTTCTGTGTCTGGCTTATTTCCCTCAGTGTAATGACGTTCTCCAGGCTCCTCCAGTTGTGGCTAAAGGCAAGACTGCATTTTTTAGGGATGAATAATATTCCAGTGTGTACGTGTGTGCGCACGTGCATGTCTTTGCCCAAATCTTTCTCGACTTGTCCATCAATACTCCCATAGTACTGGGAGTAGACAGCTCCCATACCTTAGTCATTGTGAGTAATGTAATGTTCACAGCTTACCAGGCGGAAGAGAGACTGCTGGGCTGTGCAGGGATTAATGAAAAAGGGTGAGAATGTATGAAGGAGGATAGCAGAGTGATTAGATTTGGAAAAATACAAGATTAAAAAAAACAGAAAACACATACTGGCTATTAGAAACTGCCAACAGAACATCGAGGAGCCGGATGTTCATGTGGGTGGTGCACGCCTGTAATCTCAGCATTTCGGAGGCTGAGGCAGAAAGATCACTGTGAATTTGAGGGCAGCCTGGGCTACACAGTGAATTCAAGACCAGTCTGAATTACATAGTGAGATACTGTCTCAAAAAAAAAAAAAAAAAGCAAGCTAATGCTTGCACAAGTCTATGAACACAACAAAAACTGAATTGCATGATATACAAATTACATGGCAATAAATATTATGTAAAACATTCTAAATATCTACCACTTAATACAGAAATCCCACTTCTATAAAATGTACTTTAAAAAAGACACACATTGGGAGAAATAACGCATTTCATACAAGAACATTTTTTGCAGTATTGTTTGTAATAGTGAAAATCTAAATGTTCACCAGTCACTAAATTATGGCTTATTTAATTACTGCACAATGGAACATTATGCAACCCTTAAAAAGAATAAGGTAATTGTGTACACTGATATAATCTCAGACATGTTAAATTTAAAAATGTAAAGCAAAGAACAATAATGGAATGTAATAGTAGGGAAAAAAATAGCAGAAAGACCCCTCCACTGTGATCCCTGGATTAATATGCCACTTAAGAAAAGGGGCATTCTTGGGGCTGGGAATTTAGCTTAGCGGCACAGCGCCTGCCTGGCAAGCACAAGGTTGAGAGTTCGATTCCCGGTACAGGGAAAAAAAAAAAAAAAAAAGGGATTCTGGCGGCTGACAGCTTTACGGCTGCTAATCGGATGGGCATGAGATGAGCGAGAGCTCTGGGTTCCTGCGAGGGCCACGTCTGATCGCCAGGTCTAGGGGCAAAGCGGAGGCGAGAGGCAGCGTCAAGGCGGCGCGGCGAGGGCCGGGCATTCCCGGGCTCTGCACAGGCGCTGCGGAGGCGGAAGGCCGCGGCCGGGCCTCAGCACGCGGGCAAGCGACCCTGCTCCAGACCCTGAGGGCGGAGCGACCTCTCCCGCGGCCGGCGGAGGCTGGGAGACCCTCCCGGTCCATCCCGTGGGGCCTTGGAACTTCGTCCGGGAACTGTCATTGTTCATTTCTGCGTGACACTGGGCGGTGCAGATGGGGAGCGCGCGAGTTTTAAAGCCCGCGCTGATCACGATCGCCTCTGTCCTCGGGCGCGGGAGTCCCCACGCGGCCGCGGCTCCGGTCACGCCAGCCCTTCCGGCCCCGGCTCAATCCGCCCGGCACGTGTCACTCGGAGCCAGGGCCGCGAGGAGCCAGGGACAGACGCTTACCCGGGCCCGCCGCGGGCGCTGCCATGGTGATGACGCCCACTGTCTGCGCAGGCGCGGGTCCCGGCGGGGTGGGAACCCGACTGCGGATGCCAGGACGTGGGATCTGAAAGCCGAGGTTCCTACCCACCAAGGCGAGCCCGGACCGGATACAGTGGGGAGGAAGGAGAAACGCGTTGCACGCGCACGCGCAGTGGCCACCTTGCCAGAGTAGTTAGCTGCTCCTGGAGAGGTCAGAAAGCCGGAAGCGCTTCCTGATCGCTGTGTTGGGAAGGTGGGCAGCGGCGGTGTAGGGTATATTTTCTTTTTATGTTTCGTGACGTCCTAAAAAGACATGGAATCATTATGACTGCACACAAAGAACTGTTGCAGCCAAGGATGCTGAGCTACAAGTTTTCCCTCCCTGTACCAGCGATCACTCAGAACCCCTCCTGCCTGTCTGCAACTTCCTTTCCCAGCCGAGCGGGGACAGGGAAAAGGAAGAAAGCACCGACCCTCGCTAAACGCAGACGGGCCTCGAAATACTGAAGCAGCCGGCCACAAGACGGCCTTTAGTATGTGATTCTGTTGCACGCAACTGCAGAGCAGGCACAGTCGCAGAGGCACAGTGGGCAGGCTTTACCATGGTATGGGAGCTGTTCTTGCCCAGCCCCTCAGACTTAAATTGTACCTGTCGTCCATCTTGCCTTCATATTCCTGGATGTTCTCTCTACCAATTAAAGGAATAGAGTAAGAATTCATTTGTGGGACTGTGAGCTTGGTTCAGTATACACAATTCACTTTGGAAAAGAGTGTAGCTGACTTGAGATTATTTTCCCTTCACTTTCTTTCTTTCTATCTATCTATCTATCTATCTATCTATCTATCTACCTACCTACCTACCTACCTACCTATCTTTTCGGCTCCTATTTTGTTTCCAGTTTTGTTATCCCAAATGCTATTTTTTTTTAATTATAGGGGTCTGTATTGACTGATTATCTCTACTCTTTAAAATATACCTATATCGACGCTCAGCTTCCACTTGTTTTGGTCTTTGTCTCAGGTCTATTCTGTAGTTCAGTGCATCTCCTCCTACCCAAAGATGCATAATCTGCAAATTTTTCTCTCTTTAGTGTATGCGTTCTTGCACGTAACTTAAGGCTAACTCCAGGGATGCCACCAATTACAAATACCCTAAATTGTGATTAAAAAATAAAACTAAGGCAATTCAGTGAATTTAAAACAGCAGTTGGGATAGAGGTTAAGGGATTTTGAAAATTTAAATATTTTACATCTTGGTTCCCTTTAACTGCTTAACACTTTCTAAAACTTTAGCATAAATCTGTTTTTGTTGCCACTTACCCAGTTAGCTGTGTTCGCTTGCACTGTTGAGTAAATCATAGAAACAGATTTGTGGGATTCAAAATGAATCTTATAACCATCTCCTAGATTATGAGCAGTTCATATATTGAGAAGCACTGGTTAGCAGACTTAGTTTCTAGTTTCATATGTGGTAGTTTTATAAACAAATAGCCATTGTATCCTAGAACTGGGACTTCATTTTCTTGTAAGAAGTACATTGTATTGAGTCATTCTAGTCACTTTTTTCTGGCCCTGATTATAACCACAGCCATAAAAAAAATCTGTGTAAGTAACCTGAGTACAGCTTGCTTTGCTTTTTGGAGATTCATACTGCTATAAGGTTTTTTTGTTAAATTCCAATTCAGTGAATTCCCAGCTGTATGACTTTGGGAAAATGACTCTGAGATTATTATTTAACTCTTTTGTTTTAAAATGCAATAGAACAAAGGTAATTTCCTTGTTGTGCAGTCTTTGTCGTCTGATAGCAACATAGCCAGTCCATCTTTTAAGTGTTTGCCTGGTATGTATTTTCCCATCTTTCTACTTTTAACATTGTGCACCATTAAAAATGGTTATAATTGTCTTTTATCTATTTTTGGTCTTATTTAGACCATTTACATTTAATGTAATTTTTTGATATGGCTGGATATAGATACCATTTTCTCATTATTTTTTGTCTTATGTTTTTCATTTGTTTTCTCATTTCATTTTGAATTATTTGAAGTTTTCAAAATTTTAAATACTGGCTCTAAAGATGTATCTCCTTGTATAGTTTTTAAAAAATTGCTATAGTTTTTAAAAAGTTGCTATAGATAATGGCTTACCAATTTTTCGTCTTAGAATATTTTTCCATGTGAACTATAGAAACCCTGTCACCACAGAGGTCCCCTTATTGTCCTCCTCGTTAGGATGTAGTTCTGTATATCACATCTTTCAACATAGGTAATCATACAACATTTTACTCCAGCATACACACATGCATTATGTGAAAAAATAGTATATTCTATTCTGCCTTCTTTGCTATCATTTTCCTTCCCCACAACTTCCCTAACATTTTAAAACAAGTTTCTGATTATGCTTAGTTGTCCTGAAAAATGTTCTTTTTCACTTTTGTCTCTGAAAGAGGTTTGCTGGATAAAGGACTTCATTTGATAGTCTATAAACGTTCCACTGTCTTTAGCCACCTTGGTTCTGAGAAATCTGCCAACATTCAAATTTTGTGTCGTCGTTCCCCCTGTCCCCATATTGATGACCGGACCCAGGGCTGTGCACATACTAGGCCAAATCTTTGTTCTCCTATAAAGCAAGCTGTTTGTTTCCTCTGCTTGCTTTTAAAAATCGTTTCTTTATATTTGGTTTCATCAATTTGATTATGATGTTCTGGGTGTGTTTTTTATTTTCATTTTTGGGCCCTGTGGAGGTAAACCTGCTTTATTTTATGGAATACATGTAAAATTATCTTACTAAATTTTTGAAAGTTTCCAATTACTTTTTGTGCTACTGGACACAGAACCCAGGGCTTAATACATGGTAGGCAAGTGCCCCGCTATAAAGCTCTGTGCCCTTTTACTGTATGCTGAGCCCAGTCTGGACTGGGCTCCGCTCACCCTTGGAATCGCCTTAGTCTCCCAAGTAACTCAGATTACAGCCATGCTCAGCTATTATTTCTAGTGTTTTTCCTTCTCATCTTTCTTCTTTTGAGACTTTTAAGATGTGAGCATTAGATGCTGTCACTCAGATCCCCAAAGGTACATCCATTAAAAAAAAAATTAAACCCTGTTATTCAGCCTATTTTCTGCTGATCCATCTTCAAATTCATGTACTTCTCCCTCAGTCATCTTCATTCTGCTGCTGAAACTCCTCCAATACGGTGTTTAACATTCAGTTCAAAATTTTCCACTTGGTTCTTTTTACAGCTTCAATGCAAAGGACCTTTATCTTTTCATTTATTTCAGTAGTGCTAAAATAACTACTTTTAAGTCTTTTTCTGATGATTGAACACTCCGATGGGGTAACCTGTAAATCCACTTCTGTCTTTTCCCTGGAGAGCTGTTTAGGGTTCCTGGCCAGCAGTCCAGGCCATGCCAGGTGACACGAGGCTGACACCCATTTAGTGAGCTCACAGGCTGCCTTTGCACTCTCGGCAGTGTCATCCTTCTGGACTGTTCCAGGCACCTACTCAAGATTTTTGTCTCTGTGATAGCAATCAAAAACTTTTGCTCTATTTGTTTCACATACTTAAGATCCCAAGGGGAAAGAACTGTTTCATATTTCAACCAATAAAACCTAATAAAGTGCTCTGCATTAGCATGAACATAGACACAGGTTTTATTATATTGCTGCAAAAGGCAGTATTTTACTTTGATTTCAAAATTTAGAAAAGGTTGTAGTATAAGGCCTAAGACCCAAACCAGATCACTGTAGATGGTGTAGAAGAGCCATTCTATTTCTTCACCCTTAAAAAACTAAAATTTCAAAGTGCCAAGGTGAACGGCTAAGTAAGGAACAATACAATAAAAAAACAAAAAAAATCTACAAAGAATATTCAAGAATGTGCCCCTGGGCCCTAGGCATATAATTCACATATTATTGAAATTACTATCCCATCATGGAAGAGACTTCCACCCTTTGGTTATTTTAAGGTATGGTCACTATTCCTAAGTTGTGCGGTTATAGTACAAAAGAAGTTTCTGCTACACTAAAAAATAAACACACAGGATGTAAAGAAAACAGAGTTTGATATGCAACTGTCTTTATCTTAGACCATCTCAATAAATTTCACAAGTTTATATTGTCATTTTATTTAGTATCTGAACAGTTTACATGGTCTATGAAGGAGCGATTTCCAGCAGATCATCTTCTCTTCTGAACTGTAACTTGGGCTAGGACTATAGGTGTGATTTAGTACAGAGGATATGCTGAAATCATTGAAATTTCTTGGTCTCTCCTAGCCTGAGACCTCACATCCTGAGTTACAGCCTTGATTTGATCTAGAAGTTGAGATACAATTACTGCTTTATAATGGGGTATGTAGTGTAGTTTCTTTTTCTTCAGATATACAGTGACTGTTTCTGCTACAAAAAACATATATTCCACATCAGAATAGAAAAAGCCAACAAATAATGATTAGATTTTAGATAACTTAAATGACAGGACTAATATATGCCCTTTTAATTTTTTTCCTATTTAAAGTAAAAAGAAAAGCTCTGTAACAGTTTCAAATACATAGAGCTTATCCTGTTATAAAAGGTAACATTACATGAAGAATTTAAACTATGCAAAAGTGATCAGTTCATTAAAATTTATATTCATACATGGTATCAATGAAAATACGTAGACTCGCCAAGAAATTTCTAAGGATCAACATTGAAGTAAAAAAAAAAAAACCTGTTTCAGGCTTCAGTTATTGCTACATACTGACTACCTCAAGGTCAACTGGCCTGCTGTCAATCACTCTTACAAATGGGAAGTACACTGATACACTTTGGAAAAAACAGGAAAAATAATGCACTGTGATACAAAAATATTACCTATATATAAATTATTAAAGATTTATAAAACATTCTGAATCATGTTACTATAAAAACAATGTACTTAAATATAGAAGCACAAAATCCTGAAGCACCCACATTTATTTTAAGAATACCCATTTAATCAAGAAAAACAATATACATTTGTGTAATAATGAGAAGAAAAAAGGCAGAATTCTGACTTTAATCCAAACAATCAGAACCTCTCTAATCATGGAGGTAGGGCTCCACTCCAATTATACAAATAAGTTATTAGCTTTACTCAAAGAATTAGAAGCCCAAGATCTTGAAACCTGTCTATGCCACTGAAATACATTTTAAACAGAATTTTGGAGCCAGTGCTCTCACTGGCTTCTACACAAACAGGTATTTCCTTCATAAGGTTACATGTGCAAAGAGCCTTCATTAATCTTTCTTGGAATAAAGAGGTATAACTAAGTGCATGTACTTTGGCTTAACATTGAAATAACACAGAAATGCTATCAGTTTCTTAAAGGTAGGAGTCCTTGTCTTTTTAGTGCTTGTATTAACGTAAAGCTTCAAACATGGTGGATCCTTTACATTTAGATATTTAAATATTGCGATAGTGATTTTCAGAGATCATTTCTATCTCCAAAGCAAAGCTTAAGTGTTTCAAATATCAAACGTTTAGTGTTTGTGGCCTTTCAGCTTTAGTGCCGGGTTAGTTCTGACAGATCAGCCTGCAGTGCATGATCTGGCACATCCTCTCATGATACCAGATTCTCTAGAATAAAAAATACTAATTCCATTTCTAATGGCAAACTCGAGCTGGAGGTCCCCCCGTGGATCACAGGGATCAGGGCGCTGTCCAGGGCATTCAGGTAGTGCTGAGGCAGCAGCTGGCCTTCAGAGCCTGCCTGAAATTCAACCTGAAAAAGGAAACCCTGATGAAACAATCTTGGAAAATTAGCAAACTTGTTTAGCTCAGATGACTATAAAGTAAGAATATTTTTAAATGTTCAGTTTAAGCACGTTAATAAAAATAATACACTGTTATAAACCAGGGCTTCTTCCATGTTTCTTCTGACCGTCTACTCCATAGATCTCAACTGCTCCTCACAGGGATGCCGATCAACAGCATCGCCACCTTTCAGGGTTCCCCCAGTGGGCACGTGAGCACCGGAGGGCTGAGGCTTTGAATAAGCACCAATACCGCTAAATGAAAATCACCATAGCATTAAAAAAAAAAAAACTACTTACAAATGTTTCAAATGTTATTTCAATAATATTATGATTTAATGCAGCTGATTAAAAAAGAAAACAAACAGTGCTTATTCAAATGCCCAATAATTACAAGGTGCTTCCCCAAAAGGGGGCTATTAGTGCAATGAAAACAGAACTTCCTCTTCCAGGAAGAAGCACGTGAATCCAGGCTGGAGAGGAGTGAGCAGCACATAAACTTCCTCCCATGAGGCGAACCTTGCTCTGAAAGCCCGTCCTGGGCGCTGGAAACAGTTATGAAGTGAACACACCCAACAGGCAGGAACCAAAGTTACAGGAAAAACTGGGCCTTGATGCGTAAGAGGGCCCTCACTCGTGTTAACAGAAATGCATACTAAGAGAATACTGGGGCTTCAGCCTCACCTACCAAACTGTAAAAACTGTTTGGGCTGGGGATGTAGCTTCGGGGAAGGATACTCGCCTAACCTTGAGTGTCTATGTTTGTTCTCCGGCATTGGAAAAAAAACCAAGCAAGCAAGAAAGCAGGGGCAGGCTTGAGTGTACAGTGATTTGTGGGAGAAGGCAGACTCAGAACTTTCGAGTGAAAATATAAAGGGCATCACCTTTACTTGGGAAAATACAGCAGTTATCTATTCAGTACACTTGGGTATGGCAACACTGTTGGAAACTGTTCTTACGGGTGTAGTCACACTCATATAAAAGCAAAGTACTGTCAACAACCTCCACATCAAATATGGTCGGGCTGCACCGAGTGGCCGGGTGGCTGTGGGGGCGGGGTAGGAGGGGCCCTTGAGTCTGCAGGAGCGAATGAGCGTGCGGCGTCCCGTGCTCTGCCAGTGCAGAAGGCGGTGGACGCTGCTTTCTAGGACGCTCACCGGGATACTCCTTTCAGATGCGTCTTACACTGGGAATTTTAAATCTGGCAATGGAGGACCTCATCAGAACAAGTAAATTCAAAAAGCAGGGTCCTCACAGAGCGGCGCCCAGCCTCGTGGCCAAAGCCCCACAGGCTGAAGGATGGTGTGGGGCGATGGGTCCCAGCCACACCGTCCACGTCCTGTCAGGGCTGCTCTCCCTGTGGACACAAGGCCTGTGGTGTCTGCAGGACCTGCGGCCTCCTGGTACAGAACACGCACCACCTCCGCTGCAGGGAGGAGCTGCGGGCAGGTCTGACGCTAATGAATTTCACTGAGAGAAAACCTTCGATTCTTGTAATACGAGACACACGCGGTTCAGAAACCCGCGACCACAGGCCTCACCATGTCTGTGTCAATGGAGACTCGGAGCCCGATCCTGTTCACCCTGCTCCTCTTCAGAGTCTTCAGGTGAGGGCACAGCGCAGCACTACAAGCCATGGCGATCTCTTTTGCAAACTGATAGTGAGTTGACAACACAGATAAATCCTGGCCCTTTAGAAAGTAGAACACCTGAAATATATTTAATTAGAAAACAAGTCACTACGAAGATGAAAAGCAACTTTTGTGTTTTTGTAATAGGGTCTATGTAGTGCAGGATGGCTTGAACTTGCAGTGATCCGCCCGCCTCAGCCTCCCTAGTGGTGGGATGACAACTGTACGCCCCCCAAGGCCAGCAAAAGCAACTTTTAAAATGCAACTACTGCTGCTTTCAAATGGACATTAATAAAACTGCAATGCTAGTTCCACGAAATCACTAGCTGAGACCATTCTGTCTACAACCTGAATTGATTCCATAAACATTTAAAACCAAAGATTATGGGTTCTGGAAGTGGCTCCGCTCATTCTGCCTAACACTGACGAGTGGCAGAGAACGTTCTGTTAACTTAGCGAGTCCATCCTGTAAGGGCATCTGTGTTAAGTTAGGATCGGACAAAGAAACATGTTCTGTAGTTTCTATGCACCTTGCATGTACATGAACTTACAAAGATCACAAAGAGGTGAATGCTGCTGTTGCTGAGGAGGAAGGAGACTGAGAATAACGAGGGGGACTATGAGGCTGGGTGTCTGTAGCCCTAAAGTGTCACGGCCTCTGATTTAAAAACTGTGAGCTGACAGTAGCGCCGCACGCTTGTCGTCTCTGCACTTAGGGAGAATGCCAGGCTGCAGGGTCAAATGTGTGAGCCCAGCCTGCGCAATTTAGGGATTTTGTCAGACTCTGTCTTAAAAAAAAAAAAAGGACTGGGGATGTAGCTCAGTGCAGACGGGGTGTAACCTCCAGTACTGGGGGAGAGAACAGAAATGCCATAGTAGCGGTACAAAATGGCCATGTTACTGAAACTGAACTATTAACTATTAGCTCACAGCTAATGACAGCCTGGCATGAGCCTACTGCAGCCCAGCTGGCAGCAGAGCGGCCGTCTGCGGCGGATGTGTGCGTCGCAGGGTATAAAGGCAACAGCACACAGGCACACTCAAAGCATACTCATCTGAGGCCGAGACGCATGGCCTCCTACGTGGAAACAAAACACATATCCAAACAGTGTGTAAAGGGAAGGGACTCCTTCCTCTCCTACCTCAGTACACTTCACAATCTTCTCATCAGTTTCAAAATCTGCTTCCAGTTTTATTTTCTCACTGGGAAATCCTTGTAATGAGATTCCATCCACCGAGCTGACAACACTACAGAACAAAACATAATGGGATCAATGTTACCTAAGTGCTTTTTACTAAATGAAGTATTAGATTTGAACAAATGAAGATGAGAAAAATTACGAATGTTCTAAATTTAAAGCAGCAACAAGATGTCTCAATTATATACAAGATGAGTATGTAGCTCATTTATCATGATTTATTGATGAATAATTTTTGTTCATCAGTAAATTATATCCCCCTTCTCACATGCCCAATTCAGACCTAGATTTCAAGTACCGTAACAAGTCTCCTAACAGAAAAGCTGTCTTATGAATTCAAAAGCTCTACTGTGGAACCCTTCAGCATTAGCCGCCCCTTCCTTCTTTCTCCAGACCCCTTAGCCAACCTCCAAAAAGGAAGACAATGGGGAACTGAGAAAAGGGAGGGCGGCGGCGGCAGTCACCTGTAAGGCTCCGTGTACGCGTGAAATCCAGCTTCTGCTCACGTAAGTCAGCGGAATCAGCGTCACACGAAGGGAACCCTTATCACACCACAAGAACAGGCACCCTGCGGCAGGAAGCTGCTCTGCCTGCCCTCCGCCCTGGCAGCAGCCCACCCCGCGGCACAACAGGTACCTAACACTGCCCTCCCGCCAACTGCCCCCCGCTGGCACCCGTAGATGGCACCAGGGGCGGGCAGGGCCACGTCCGAAGATGCACCCAGTACTTATTAACTGGAGGGTAAACACTGTATTTATGGCACAATTCTATATCCATTCATAAAATAATTATATTCAAGGAATGTTTTCATTCCCCCCTCTGTCACATCAGTTGTACCTCAGTAACCAAGTTCGTACCCTTTGTTTTCTTTTTCTTCGGCATCTACCCAGCATATATCCACATACTCTCTCAGGTCTCCCGAATCCACTTTTCCACAGGTAATTTTGAAGTCCTTTTGCTCTCGCAGAGCTTGCCTCAAGCCATCCATGGTCTCTGGAGTTATCTGCACCATTAAGCCGTCTAGAAAGGAGAGTTACGCTTCACATTTATTTGCAAAAGACAGTCTACGTCTGAGAGTTTATGGCTGAGGCATAAAACTTCCTATCAAGATAGGCTCAGTGTAAGGCAAGCTTTAAGTCCTTTGTTAATTACCCTAACAGTTGTTTTCCATTAGGAAAATAAGACAAATATTTCACAAAGTTAGGGGTTCTTTTTTGAAAGTTTAATGAAAACAAAGTTTATACGTGTAGGTTTGATAAAATCACTGCCCAAAAGCATGTCAAAAAGATTACACACCATGATTAAATGGGATTTATTCCAGGGATGCAAAGATGGTTCAACATATGCATATCAATAAACAATAAATCACATCAACAGAACGAAGGATAATAACCACTAGTCATCTCAACAGATACAGAAAAATCATTTTAGTAAAATTCAACATCTTTTCATGATACAATTCTCAATAAAACTGGCAGAGAAGGAACGAACCTCAACACAACAGGGGCCATCTATGACAAGCCCAGCTAGCATCCACTGTCTCTGAGATCGGGAACAGGGTGACATGTCCGCCTTTGCCACTTTTAACATAGTACTACGAGTTTTTAGCCAGAGCATCAAGTCAGAGAAAGAAAGGGCATCCAAAAAAGAAAAGAGGAAGTCAAACTGTCCCTAGTGGCAGATGATACAATTTTATACAGACAGAAACCTAACAACCTAACAAAAACCGTCAGGATTAACAAATTTAGTAAGGTTGCAGAACACAAAATGAACACACAAAGATCAACAGCATTTTCATACACCAATAACAAGCTGGCTGAGAAATCAAGGAAGCAGTTCCACGCACAGTAGCGATCACAACAAAAGGCGCAATGAAGATTATAAAACACTGATGAAATAAATTGAAGGGGACCCAGAAAAATGAACACAGCCATGTTCATGAAGTTATTATTACTGCAATACTTGGGGACTGAACCCAAGGCCTCATGCTCTCCTACTGAGATACAACCCAGTAAATTAGAACAAATCATATTGTTAAAATGATCCTATTACCCAAAGTAATTTATAGGCTGAATGTTAAACCCCTCAAAATATAAATGACATTCTTCACAGAAACAGAAAAATCCTAAAATTTCTATGAAAACTATAAAGTACTCTGAATAGCCAAAGAAATCTTGAGCAAAAAGAGTAAGGTTGAAGGTATCACAATATCTGATCTTAACACACACTGCAATGCTATAGTAATGACATAGTACTGGCATAAAACAAGTACCAATGGAACAGAACAGAAAATTCAGAAATCCATCCATCTATAGTCATATGATCTCCAACAAAGGTGCCGAAAACATACACTGAAGAAAGGACAGTCTCTTCAATAAATGGTGCTGGGAAGACTGGGTACCCATATGCAAATGAATAAGACTAGATTCCTGTCACCGTGTACAAAAATCTGTTCAGAATGGATCCAAGACCTACATGTAAAACCTGAAATTGTTAAACTGCCTGAAGAAAACATAGAAGATGCCAGAGATATAGCTCAGCGGCATAAGTGTTTGGTGGCAAGCCTGAGGTCATGAGTTCGATTCCTGGTACAAAAAAAAAAAAAAAGAAAACATTGAAGAAATACTTCAAAATTTCTGCACAGATATTAATTTTTGGGATATGCATTAAAAGCACAGATAACAAAAGGAAAAAGAAACAAATATGCATCAAACTTCAGTACTAAAAATGGAGTCAACAGAGTAAAGAGTTGTACAGTGGGAGAAAATAGTTACAAACCACTCATCCACCAATTAACATGCCAAACATCCAAGGAACCTAAAAATCCTCAACAATAAAAAAAAATCCAATTACCAACTAGGCAAATGATAGGAATTTCTCAAAAAAAAAACTACATGAATGGCCAACAAAAACTAACAAAAAGCTGGCAAGGATGTGGTCCAAGGGAAACACTTCCATACTGCTGGCAGGAATGTAAATCAGTAAAGCCATGAAGGCAAACACAGGGAGGTTCCTCAAAAATAACTACCCCATGGCCTGGCTACCACTGCGGGGCGTATCTCCAAATGCAGCAACATAATTACACCAGAGACACTTGCACGTCCATGTTCACTGCAGCGCCATTGCTAAGAGCCAAAACAGGATGTCACCGGGGCCGGCCACCAGCAATGAATGGGAGAGGAACTTGTGTAACACGTGGAGTGCTAGCAGCCACGAGAAAGAATGCACACCACCCACAGCAATGGCGAACTGTGTCAGGGAGGAAGCCGGCACAGGAAGACAAGTGCCAGTTTTTTATGTGGAAGCCAAAAAGCTGTGTTTGTAGAAGCAGCGAGTCACAAAGTGGTTACTAGTGATGAGAAGGGTAGCAAGAGTAAAGGGAGGCTGCACAATGCTGACCAAAATAGGGTCGCACAGCGAGGGAGAGGGCAATGCTTACACACAGAGCAGCGACCTCAGTTCCCAAGAAGTTACCATACACTTTATAGAGAACAAGGAAAGGCGAGTTCTGAGTTTCCCAACACAAAGAAATGATACGCTAATTATCCTGATTTGATCATACACATCTTATACATGTTCAAATTATCACACTGCACTGTACATAAATATGTACAATTATTATTACACACCACTTAAAATGGCAGAGGAGGGATCTATGATATTCAGAACTATGTGAACTGCAATTGGTTAGAGAAAGACACAACCCACTGGAAAAAGAGGCAAATGTTGCGAACAGGCTTTTGACAGGAAAGGTCCCCTCCGTGCCAAGCAAAGGGCAGGATGCTCCACCCTGCAGTGGGATGGGCATATGCTGATCGTGAGCATATTCACAAATGCAGGTTGACAGAAGTTACAGAGTGTGACAATATCACGTCTGGACACTACGTGGGCCAGGGAGAGAGCTTGCACACTGATGAGGACGACAGCTGGTGCAAGCATCTGAAGAACAAGTTAGCAACATCGGCTGAAATTAAACATTTACAAATGTATTAGCCTGGAGACTCCACTACTAAATATGTATTCCAAGGAACCTTTTATACACCAGTCCGGAGTCCACATACAGGTAAGAATACCATTATTACCACTGCTTGTAACAGCAAAATCAAAAAACAACCCGGAAGTTCATGATCAGGAGATGACTAAATTGTCATACATTCACAAAATACTTAATAGCAATGAAAATGAACATGCTATAGTTGAAGCAATATGCATAAATTTTTGTTTTTTATTTTTTGGTACCCGGAATCAAACTCAGGACTGCGCTTGCCAGGCAGGCACTGTGCCACTGAGCTATGTCCCTGGCCCTATAAATATTAAAGATACAGGTAACAAGTGAAAATACTGATTTCACACGATACTGTGATGAGTATCATTTTCATGAATCCCCTCAGTAAGCATAATGAAGTGAAGTTATGTACTGCATAAGCACATCTATATCCAGGCAGAGTCAGCAAGAGGCTGACAAGCAGAGAATCCGGGGAGCAGTGGATTCCGGGGCAGGGCAGGGCTGAGGTGAAGATGTTAGCTGCCGCACTGGGTGATGAGTTCACACAAGTCTGGGCACTGCTCTCACTGTACGTGTATTCTCTTGTGAGCGTCAGGCAGGTTTTTAAAGGCAACAGAAAAACAGCTTCATGTTATAGCAATCTTAAAGAGGAAGCTCGTACCTTCCACTATGCTGGACTTGGCAAGAAATCCCGAGGATGACTTCAGAGCGCCACTGAACACCACAAAACTTGCGCCTGTCACTGAGGACAAAACACGACGGTTAGTTTGGTTTTCTGCCACCTATTTGGTTCGTATGGGATTAAACTCAGGATGTGGAGCACGCACATTTAGGGACCCAGTAAATGTTTTGCTCATAACACAACAGAAATCCAATGAAAACCAAATCAAATAAAAACAAGATAAACTACTATGCGAAAAGAATTAACATTAATGTCGAATACGGTTTTAAGTGTTTGTGCCCGTGGTAATGAGGGTGTGAGACACTGCTGGTGTGTGCCTACCTTAGGACTCTCTCTGGAGCTGATTGGACAATCGTCAATTAAAGTTACAACTAAACACGACCTTTGACATACACCAACACGGCAGGCTCAATGGTGCAAGAAATGGCACGAGGACAAGGTTATTCACAGGAGCATTTTAATAAACAACCTAGGATTGGTAATAACTTGCATCTACCAACAGACGACAGATAGATGATGCACACATAGAAAATAGGAAGTTAGGCAAAAGCTCTTCACCAACACAGAACCATTTCCAAGATGTGTTTCAACAAAAAAAGCACAGCACACAGTGGGACCAATATCATGCCTTGTCTAGTGAGATGCTGGGTATGACGGCACAGGCCTGTAATCCCAGCACTCGGGGGAGCTCAGGCAGGAGGATCACTGTGAGGTCAAGGCCAGCTTGGGCTACACAGCAAGACCCTGTCTCAAAAAACAAACCAACCAAAGAAATAAAATAAAAGTACACAGGCCAGAGAAAGAGCTGATACGTGTGTGCATGCTGTCTGCAAGAGAGGAAGACAATGGCTGAGGGTCAGGGAAGGAAGATTTTTTTTCACTACACAAACATATTTAAACTTTTTGAATCTTACCACATAAATATCTATTAAATAAATATTAAGAAGTTGTTACATTTTAATGATGAAAAGAGTGCGAAAGTAAATAGCTAGCATAGAATAATCTAATGTCAAAGTACTAAGAGGGAAATACAACACCATCAATGTGCTGCTCTTGCTGTTTCACTGCTTTTTCACCCATGTTCTCCCAGCTTCGTACAGATGAGTACACACCAGCTCCACCTTCGAGGGAGGCAGCCAGAGTGCCAGGCTACGTAACCATGTTGTCCCACGACGACGCGCTGGTTTCATGGGACACATGCTTCCCTCAGCCTTCAGGTCTGGAGGCCCCTCCGGCAAGGCTCTGGCCATCCCCCAGGCCACCGGCTCAGAGCTGAGTGAATGGCAGCCCAGAGCTGCTCGCGACTCCCCCTTGTCATTCTTATTTCCCTGGTCACTCAGCTTCATAAATCATTCTTCGTCCTCGTCTGTTCTCAGCTACTCCAACTGAGAGGAGCGGATCAAAGACCTCACAAAAGCCTACACACCGTACTCCAGAGAGAAATCCCTCCAAGTACGACTTTTGCCCCACACTTGGCCTGGACACAAGGACAGCCAGAGGGACGCAGCCCACGAGTGTGGAAGCCAGCAAAGCCAGAGAATAACATGACGAGAAGCAGCCTTCGCAACCACCGTGTGCAGCTGAAATTTCAGGCACCTTGTGGTGGATTGACAACTGGTGGTCACCTGTAACACCCAGCTGACCTGAATCAGTGTGGTGCTGGGTGTGGAGGCCACCTGAGGACGGCTGCCAGCAGCATAAAGAGAACTGGAGAAGGGAAGTTGTTAGGGAGCTGTTGGTTCTCCTGGAGGACCTTGTCACGCTGGCTTTCCTGATACGAACTTGGCTCTTCTCATCATCGAAAGCACTTCGGACCTTGCTGTCACTGAGAATAGCTGCAGTTCACTTTGGGGAAGCTCTGGTCTTGACTTTGAGCATCACTTCCTGGCTCCCGAGGGGAAAAAGGTGCACTGTTCAGTCTCCTGAAGAACCTTGTCAGAAAGCACTGGCTTTCCTGATATGGATTTGGCTGTTCTCACTGTTGGAAGAGCTCGAGACCTCACTGTTTCTGAGGATGGCTGTGGTACTCTTCGGGGGAGTGCTGGTCCTTGAGCGTCGCTTCCTGGCTCCAGTGCGGATCCTTCCGGCTGCTGACATAGATCCTTCATCCCGCCAGCACAGACCTTCTGGCTTCCACCGCTGACCTTTAGCCTTTCCAGTGCAAATCCGCAAAACAGACTTGCATGAGGGACTGTCAAGGGCTGTAGGTCTGCAGCTGGATTCATGCAGGACAGTGCCATGGGGTCCAGGCCCTCAGCTGGATTCTCTGGATCTTTAGTGTGTAGACAGATTTCCTGCACTCTCTTTGTATTTGACTCTTTGGGTAACTACTATAAAATAATCTTATAAATTACGTGTCATATATTAAATTGATTCCCTTGTAAGCCCTGACTGCAACACACACCAATCAGGAACTCATCCAGCAGTGAACTACGTGCGCCTCCTTCCTCTGCTAGGAACCCTGTCTGGCGGTGCAGGGAGGCATGCTTACCTCTCCTCGGGCGGCCAGGAGCATTGTTGGCCTGTGTGTGATAGACGCCGTCACTCTGCACACAGACCAGGTGGGAGTCCGCTTCTGTACTGAAGCTCGCGCCAATGCTGATGACGTGCTCGTTAGAAGAATTCAGCACTTTCATCACCTGCAAACAACAATCTCAGCTGTTTAAAGAAATTACCATTTCTACCCATTCTAACGATCAAATGCAGCAGCAACTTCATCATTATCAGGCTTTGGTCTCAACTCTCACAGCATGATAGAAATTAGTGTTTTAAAATAAAAATACCTCCATTAGCAGGTAAAACAATGAGGAAACAGATTTTAAAAATAGGATTAAACAAATTCTAAAATTTCAAAAACATTATTTGTAGCCCTCATTTAGAACAAAAAATGCCATTTGACACAATTCCACAGAACTCTAATATGAAACATTCATCTTTAACATCTGAATAACACAATTATACTTACATCACTGTATTTTTTCCGAGGTATTTTTATACAGCTCTTCCCCATTTCCATATGAATCAACAGCTGATCTATAATATGCAAGGTGTACTGGTAATTTCGAAGATCCTACATAAAATAATCACAATCCATAAATCTTAAACTACTGTCCATAAATATTCAGTATCCGTCATTTTAAGGCATCTGACACAGCGTTCTCAAAATGCCACCCAGAAAGCTGGGAGAGGAGGAAACCCCTCACCATTGGTTACTTCTCAACAGCACAGAGAACACCATTCTGGGGTGCTCTGCAGTCTGGGGGCGGTGCCTTTCCAGGCACAGATCTTCCAGGATAGACACGGTGTGTGCCACGGGGCTGTCCGCATGTCCTGAGGCCTGTGCTGAGGCTTGGTCCCAGCACAGGGCACCATGGGAGGTGATGGAGCCTTGGGGGCGCCTGTGAAGGGGACAGCAGATCTGTGCTTCCTGGTGACCGAAAGGCAAACAGGCCTCCCCTGCTACATGTCTGCCACGACGGGCTGGGCTATGGGCCCCAAGCAACGGGCCAAGCGACCATGTCTGAAAGCTCTAATCCATGAGCCCAAAGCAAACCTCCCTCCTTACAAATCGATTGTCTCAGTTATTCTGTCACAGTAATAGAAAACTGACAGGCATAAAACCAGACAGGGATTAAAAAAAAACCAAAAACCAAAAAACACGCAAAGTTCCTTCCAGAGTAACACATAAACAGTAAACAGATAAAACTGCACAGATTATAGGTGGGAGGGAACTTCCCCAATCAATCCTCAGCCACAAATGAGGAAACTGAAGCCACAATTTGCTCAAAATCACAAAACTGACTTAAACACTTTTACTAATTTAGAGGTCTATGTAGAGGTCTCACATTATCTAAATATGTAAGAACCGCAGCAGAATTAATCAAAAGGCAATTAGAATCAGGTGCACATAAATGAGTAGCTACTATGTTCCAAAAAAAGCACGTCATCAAAACAGCCCATTTATGTTAGATGAACGAGGATGAACTATAACGAGCTGTCATTCTACCTAATGTGCCAAGCTAAAGTAAGAAAATATAACTGACATTTGCTAAATAATTTAAAAAAGTAACAGTGTAAGGATACGTGCTAAAACAGTCAATTACTTACAACAAGTAAGTTCATAATAGTATGTCCTATTTCTCCAAAGAGAGCTTTTCGGCCTCTGACACTTGTTAGAGGAGCAGGATATGCTACACATAAAAAAGAAAACCTGGTTATTATCACGGAATACCAGAAAGTCTTGATTTATTACCCTAATCCTCACCTTGCAGACAGATGTTATACATAAATAGCACCCGGCAGGTCTCAGGGCGAGGGGCAGAGGACATGATACCCTTGGTGCAGGTATGAGAGGCTCTGCTGAACTGGGAGCTCTAACTGCACCCCACACCCTTCAGCTGACGTCAAGCCTACGCAGCCCAGTGAGTTCGTGCTCTGCATGATACTATTTTACAGACGAGAAAGCTGACACACAGAAACTAATACATTTGCTCACAATGATCAACCAGGAGGCAGAGGTGTCAGGCTATCACCTAACTGCATCCTTTTCCCTTTTGGGAGGGCACTCTCAGTCCTGAGCCTGAAAGGAAGGCCACCTCGCTAGTGTGCAGTGCAGCAGGCCTGGAAGAACGAAGGTGGAGAAGGCGGGCAGGCCATGCCCACAGTGCTGAGAAAGCGGGCACATTTTCAGCTGCAGTTCTCAGCTGAAGTCAAAGACACCAACCGCTCCAGTACCTGCGACATAAACACACCTGCCCCAACGCCTGAGGGACACCACATCACCGACACTACCTAGTTTAAAGACTGAAGTCACAGCACTCTTATCGTTGCTAGTACAAACATATTTTGCAAGTTTAAAAAGGAAGACTAAATTATTTCGAGGACTGGAAAAAAAATGCAAGATATTAATACAGTGTTAAAAGACATTAACGTGGGAAACGACATGCTTGGATAAATGCCAACTTTTTACCTCAACCTTTATGAATGAGAAGCGTTCTTTGAAAATTGTTTGAGGTGATTTTACCTGAAACACTACGCTCAAGAGATCACATCTTAAAAAGACATATTGTGAGTACAAAGCGACCTTACCGGCCATCTAGTCGCACAGTTAATGCGATTCCAAACAAGTTGCCTGAACACGAAAGTACAGATAAACCTCATCGGGAAGGTATTAACTTCAGATGGTTAGTTTTGGCCTTTAACTTTTGCCATCAGCTTTTCCACGTGACCTCTATAACACAATCCAAGTCATCTCTAAAGAGTGTGGAGCCATTCATATCACAGTGCCAGGTATCCAAAGCCCAGCAGAAGATGAGGAACAGGGAAAACAGCGAGACGTGCACGTCCCCCTGGAACTGGAATTCTCCCTCACTGCCTGACCCCTGTAACAGCTGCTGTGGCTTTGTCTGACCCCGTAACCTCTGCACAAGCCCCTTGCGTTGCTCCTTGATTTTTCAGTCTTTTGGGTGAGAAAACCAGCCTTGCTATTCATAAGTGCCAGGGGCCAAAATCTTGGCTGTACTTCCAGATTATATCTCCATGACCATGTAAGATAAACTCATGTGTTTGCCCTAATCTGCCTAAAACCGCACTTCAGGAATAGCCTTCAAGTATTACTGTCAAAAACAAGTATTAGGCTGAATGGAGGAAACAGCAGAGAATAAAATGTCTTAACCTCTTTGGTTTACACGGAACAAAACCTGAGTTCTTAGTTTCCACACAAGTTAACAGAATCATGTACTGAGATTCTAAGCGGTAACGAACTCCTATCCACAAAAATCACACATTTTAATAAAATCTGACAGAGGGCTTTAATTCTTTCACTTAAACTGCCCACCTGAAAATAATTATTTTTATATGTTATGTATTACACAGGCAATACATGATTATTATTTCTTTTAAAGGCCAGGCATAAACGTATATAGGAATTCCACAAAAAGGTAAAAGACTAGAAATGATTTTGAAATAACCATTTACAAAAATTGGACCACCACAACAGCTTAAAATCTCCAGTTGTGTCAAAAGTAGATATATAAATATATACAGTCATATGATAGATAATACAGTCTCCACCACTTTTAGTTAGCTAAGTATCAGGAGTATAAAAATAAAAATGAGGAAGTTAAAGCTTACAAAAATGACAACCACTGTTTTTAGGTAGAACACTTCCCTCTGTAAAAATGGGCAATCCTGATCACAGCCAGCAGGTGAATGCAACAGCACTAATAATCCAAAAACTCCGTGTTAGTTTATGACATAAACACAAAGAGGGACAATAATTTACCCCTGAATATACAGACAACATAAACTCTCAAAAATATGGGTACATGTTTTAAGAAAACATTAACAAAAGTAATACTGTCAAAATGCTGTTTTGTTTAGAAACTTAAAAATATATAAAGTATTACTGTAATTTATGAATATCCAGACACTTCCTAACACATGAATGTCTAGACTAATGCGGTAGTGCATGAGATAGGGAGGCTGAAGCTGGAGCACTGTAAGCTCAAGTCCTGTCTGGCAACTCAGTAAGCCCCTGTCTCAAAAAAATTTAAAGAGAACATAACAGTACATTGCCATTGAGATCAATCCCTGAAGTAATCAAGAAAAATCAAAAGTACACCAAATTAACATAGTCTGATTAATCTGATAAAATTAAATTTTAATAATTTCCATAAAATCCTTACTTTACATTCAGTATACTACAAATATGTAATCTAACTTACTCTAAAACTTACCTTTATATTCCATACCCAATCTCAACATTAAACGTATAGGAAAAACCTTTGCCCAAGGGATTTCCGGCTTCTGGATGAGAATTCCACACAGAAAAGGGCTGCTGGGCACTGGGAGATCACCCAGCTTCTGAACAGCAGGTGTGATAAACAGGAACCCTCCATGATCCTTGCTGTTGAGAAAACTCTCAGTAAAGGTAATGCTGTCCAGGTTTTCTATGTATTTTCCTGGAAATAAAATTAATGAAAAGATTTTAAGTTCTTTTATTATTATTTTGATGAAATGCTCAGAGTAGGATGTCCCAATGTAAACCAAAGGCAATGTACCATTTTATTTTCTTATTTCTACTCTTAAAGAGGCTTCTATTAAATATATTCTCTGTGTAAAACTCAGTTACTCTTGGATACTGGGGATTGTGAAAAATAATTTGAAAATGTTTCAAAATCTGTATAGTCACTAATTACGTAAAATGCTAGTTTAAAAAGAGACCAAAAATGATGATCACTCTCCTTTAAGATGTCTGAACTCTTTTCACAAAAGCATCTGCGGTGCAGTTAGCAGACCAGAAGCAGGCGCCTGGCGCGCATCTACCCGCTTCTTGGCACGTTCAAAAGCGAAGTGCTGTACCTTTGTGTGCGTCCTTGTATATGGTGAGGAGCAGTCGGAAAATGTCCTTAGGAACTCTATCTTCATTTGGGAAACACAGCAACAGAATGATAATCTCTGCCTGTCCCAAGCCATGCAATCCATTGGTTGAGAAGTACCAATATTTATCTGAGGAATCTGGGCAACAAAAGCACACAACTCTAAACGGCAACGTCTGTTCACCGAAGAAACTAAACACTGATTTTGCATAAAGCACTTTTCAAATCCTTAATTTCCCCAAAATTCTCTTCATAAAAACCTTAAGTTGAACTATGTAAGATTCACCTAAGAAAATAAAAAGACTATCTTATTGAGTGAAATAATAACACTAAGGAGACGCACTAACGGGCCGAATGTAGTGTGTTAAAAATTACATTTTTGAAGAGAAGGCAAAGCTGTAAATGCACCCTGAGTAGTTAGGATTACTTCCCTACATTTAATTAAGTCACATGGCACCTACTGTTTGTATTGCTTGTTGCTTATCTCATTTACCGAAGTGCAATTTATCTAAAAGCTAAGAAATAGTCAATTGTATAACAGGCATCACATATACCTCAGCTATAAGCCAATGTCCTGAACTTAGGGTGCTACTAAGAACCTGTAAACTCAAGTCCCACTGAATACATACTTGCAAAATGGATGTGTAGTCTATTTGGCTAAAAAGCTAGTATCAAACACTGCTTATTTTTCACTGTTGCCTGTTAAAATCTAACTTGAAGATGTAATTACTTTAAAAATCCTGCCTACTAATTAAGCAAAGAAAGAGAAAGCATTACTTACAAACTATTAATCTGACGTTCACAAGCAGATTGGCATTCAGGATGAAGGTGGCAGGAGGAGACCCTTCACTCTGAAGAAGGGCGCTGACCTGCTCAGGAGATGGGTGCTCTTCTACCACAGGCCCTAAACAGAAGGGAAATGTCCCTTGGGGTCAGTATCCTAGAGATATGCTCACAGCGAAACAAAACCCTACATGCACGTACCAAGGGCTCGACCAAGTTTAAAAACAAAAGCAAACATGCTTCCTAGTCAACTAACATCCTATATAATGTTACATATTAATTTTTTACTTTCCAATCAGCACAGATTTTAATACTATAAAACATGCATTTGACATATTATATTGTATATAGCATATACACAAAACACACTGATTAAATAGCACAATTATACAATCTTAGCACTTTCAAACTTTAAAACACTTCTGTCAGGGGCTGGGGATTTAGCTCAGTGGCAAAGCGCTTGCCTGGCAAGTGCAAGGTCATGAGTTCGGTTCCCGGTACTGGAGAAAAACCAAAAAATACTTCTGTCAAAGTGGATTCTACTTTGTTGGTCATTCCTATTCTAATTTCTAAAATTTACAAGCCCATAACAACCTAGATCCAAAATATACATGTGGCTGATGGCTACATATCTGTATCAGTGACAGGTGGCAACAAACAAAACCACAAAATACAAGAGCATGGCAATCAACATGTGAAGAATGTTTTATATACTTTGGTCAGGGAGCTGAGCACACGAACTAGCTCCTCCGGACAAAAGAGAGATCGTATGCGTCACTCCCCACATTAATTCCACAGAGAGGGCCAATGGCGCAGGCGCCAGGATGCAGTGGAAGGCTGGGGTGACAGGTGTCTATCTCGGGAACCACTCCGGGTGACTGCTGGCCAGAGTCTCCAGCTTGAAGAACTTAGCCATCATGAGGAACTAAAATCTCCCTATCCCGTCTTTTTTTGTGGTAATGGCTACTGGATCTATGGCCTTCACATTGAGCTACATCCCCAGAGCTTTTTTCCAATTTTGAAACAGAGTTTTGCGAAGTTTCCCAGGCTGGGCTTCAACTTGCAATCCTCCTGCTTCGGTCTCCCAGAGTGCTGGGTTACAGGTGTGTACAGCCATGCCTGGCTAAAATTTCTGGTTTTGTCAAGTCTTTTTCTTTGGATATTCATCTTGTTCAGCAAAAGACACAGAGACAAAATGCTAACATGGTGGGAACATTTCTGAAAGTCTGAGTTTCCCACTGTATTGGATTTTGACTCAATCTAAATTAGGGACACAGATGTGATGAATCATAAGGTTCAAATCCTTTAGGGTTTGCTTTTACACAGTAACTTTTTATAAAATAAAGTTATCAGCCCTAATATATATAATAAAATTATCTGAGCTATAAAAAAATGCTTTGCACACACATCCATCAGTACCTCTTCCTAAAAGCATTCTTTTTAAACTGAAAGTAGCTGCTCTCCTACCTGACCCCTGCTCTCCTGAAGTACCCAGAAGTGGGGGCAAGCTGTCCTCGTCATCAGGTAAGAGGCTGACCTTACTGCCAACGTGCTTGCCGACACAACACAGTAACCTGTAATCCGAAACACCAGCCATGGGTGTAACGCTGTTCACTGTGACCCCCAGAGAACTGGACGGTGCCTCAATTTCTGCAAAAACGTCATCAGCCAGGGCAAGAGAAGCACAAGCAGGTAGCTCGTCAGTTCCCATGCTTGTCGGCAGTTTTTCCACAGCTGGAACTCGGGAAACAGGACTCCCAGAGCTCTCAGTTCTTGCCGTATCTCCGAGCTCATCGTCTGGTTTCTCCACTGTGGCAGAAAGGGCAGGGTCCACTGTGGTTACCACCTGTAAGATACAGAATAAAAAGTTAGATCAGTTTATGCTCTCTGTTCAAAGGTAAAATGCTCATCTCCACAGTTAAATATATCTTCTTAATCAGAAAACATAAAAACCAGCACAGGCTCATAAACTCTACGGTCACATCTCCCAAGAAATAGCACCATCCTACAGCTGGGTCTGGAGTCTAGGGCATTAAAGAGTACAGCATTTCATTTCACCGCACACCAGGAAGATACTGCTGACTGTAGTATCACAGCCTGGAAGCAAGAAGCTGCGGGTCCTGTCCCAAATCACACAGTGCTTCGTCCAACTCTAGGCCCCCTTCTTCCTCCTCCTCCACGACAGCCAGGAAGAAGGAAGGAAAGCAGCTGGGACGCAGACAGGCAGATACTTCCCATAGTAGTAGCCCCTGCAATACGTGACCTACCAAGGCAGCTGCAATCCAGCCACTTTTTCTTTTGACCAGCCAGAACCAATTTTAAATGAAACACTCATGAACTCGTGATATTTACCTGCCTGTTCAGAGCTTCCATTCTGTCAACTGTGAGAAGGAACTAGGCAAGGAGCACAGTAGCTCAGGATCTCCGACTCACCAGTGTCATATATATACGATGCCTCTTCTATCTAAGCCTAGCACATCTGTGCAAACGCAAGCATGAATATACCCACCAGATACTTTCCCGAATTTCTGAAAAACACTAAATTGCCATTAGCCTAAGTTACTAAACCTCAGTTAATTTATCTACAGCAATGGTTCTTGAAATGTGGTCCAAGCCAGGGATGCAGCTCAGCAGCACAGTGCCTGCCTGGCAAGCGCGAGCTCCTGAGTTCAATCCCCGGTACCACAAAAAAAAAAAAAAAAAAAAAAAAAAGATTTCAATTGAAATGTGACCCAGAATCTCTGGGTCCTTGGGTCCCCAAAATCTGGTCAGGGAATTGATGAGACCCTAGCATTTTCTTCATATAATAAAAACAACATACTAAAACACTACATGTAGAAGCCACTGTGAGCCTCTATCTGCTATAATGTCACACACTGAAGAAATTTGTAAGAGTTAAGGGTGTAACTCAGTGGTAAAGCACTTGCCTAGTATGCTTGAGGCCTTGGGTTTAATCCTCAACATCACAAAAACAGAAAACAAAATTTGCAAAAACATAAAACAATGCCACTCTTACTAAACTTTTCATTAAAAAAATTTTTTTTTCCTAAAAATATTGTTTCTACTAATGTAATGGGTTTATTTTTTAATTAAACATTTTTAATTTTCTCAATTTTAATTTTAAATATGCAAGTAATAATTATCTACATAACCTTTAGCTCTTGGAAGGATTTAATATCTTTCTTAAAAGGAATAAAGGAGTGTAAGAGAATCCTGAGACCAAAAAGTTTGAAATATCATTGCTTAAACTAATAGAAAAAGAAAAAGGCAAATCTACAATATTCACTGCATCAACAACACATTCTTTAGGGCTACTGTGGGCTCAGTTCAAGATGCCTGCAGTAAAGCACATCACATGAATTTCCCAGCACATACAGAGGCTACATTTACGCTCTACTGCAGTCTATTAAGTATGCAGTCTATGCAGTAGCTTTATATCTGCACATTCTAATTACAAAACACTAACAACCATCTGACTTGGAAGAACAGTGCCAGTGGACTTTCTGTGCAGGGTAACTTTCTTCATGCGGTAACGAAAGCAGTATCCACAAAGTACAATGCAAGGTCGCTTGTATGTTTCTTCTGTCAGGAGATCCACAGTACCCAAAAGATAGGCACACTAACAGTCACATGAGGAGTCGTCTACACTGCGATTTTATCTCACTGTTGAGTGACCTCTGTTTCCTACCGTGGGCACATCTGGGAAGGGCGGACTGCAGTCTTCAGAGCATCGTTTATTTCCACACAATAGTTTTGTCGTATCTGCAACTTCACCGTTAGGCAGGATGCCATCTGCAAACCACACTCTCTTCTGTTCTCTGGAGCCTGGTCCTAGAATCGGGGGACAGTAAATGATTTCAGTCTGGCACACCACAAACGATGTGGTGCTCAGTGGCCAGGAAGTGTTTTCAAGAGTGTCTGGCTATCCACCAGCAAAGGCGTGCATTCTCACGCTGCTAAGGCCTAGAGCAAAGGTTTTTCAGGATCTGTCATACTGAGCAGAGGCCTTTTCTGTGAACTGCACACACAGGAAGCATGACGGCCAGGTGTGCCCTGGGATCCCACCCTCCAACATGAGTGCGAGGACACTGCACCTGCAGACCCAGGGAAGACGCCAAGCCCATCTTGGAGGCGGAGTTGGGACCAAGGAGGGGGACTGAGTAAAATGTAGGGACAAGGCACTAAGTGTTGAAAAACACAGATCGGAACACAGCAGATGACAAAGAAAAACACAGAAGGAGAGAAGACTGAAAAAGGAAACAGGATCACTTATACATTCAAGCGGTAATTTATTGAACAGAGAAGTGAAACACGTTTTCTTATAATGTGCATGCAAAACTTCATACATATTAAATAAGGTATCTTTCTTGTATTTTTAACATCTTAATAAATTAGTTTAGGTTGCTGATACATTTTTTAGAGACAAATTTATTCACCTTTACAATTACAATACACAACTATGTATGTTGAACTCCTTATTTCTGTTACAATAAAAAAACATAGTTACTGAGTGATAAAGCCCAAAATAATTGCCAGAGACCCAAATCTAACTGTAGCTGACTTTTTTTTATTTTAAAGGGAATTAAAAAAAAAATTGAAAACGATACAGAATTTCAAAACAGGATGATAGGAAATCAACAATGGTTGTTATATAGCATATTGTTATCTTCAACTTAGTGGTTCAGATTACCAGATATAGGCATGCAAAATTGATCAAAAAAAAATTAAGCATTAACTGTTCCTTTCAATAAATCAACAGAACTGAGTAGTACAATTATCTTAGCTATCTTGTGTGTGTACATATGTAAGTACGTATATATATGTGTGTATGTAATTATATGTATGTAATTTCCCCTTTTTTTTTCCTTTCCCTCATTCCAGTTGTTCTTTCCTTTTGAGCAGTTTCTTTCCCTTTCACAGTATCTACTGTACCTTTCAGATTTTATTTACTCTTTCAGTTTCTTACACTAGGAAGACAATACAATGTGCACCTATGTTTATAGCAGCACAATTTGTAATAGCTAAATCTTGGAAACAACTCCAATGCCTATCAACTGAGGAATGGATAAAATAAAGCGATATTTTTATACAATGGAGTATGGAGTACCACTCAACTATAAAGAAAGATAAACTGGAGGCTTTTATAGGTAAATAGATGCAAGTAGAGACCATAATCATAAGTGACATTTACGATTATGTTCTAGCACATTACAGTCTCTAGTCCCCAGATGATATTTAAATGGGCTTTACTCAAGGTTCTAAATGAGCAGCAGTTGTTTAAAAAAAACCTATCATATAACTCAAAGATTTAAACGTATTTAGATTTAAAATATTTTACTATTGTGGTAAAATAAAAATAATTAAATAAAACATTAAAAGAAATACAAAAACAAAAAAGAAAGAAAACAAGTTTTTAGCAGGGCGTAATGGTGCACACCTGTAATCCCAATACTCAGGGGGCTGAGGTAGGAGGATTACAGAGTTAGAGACCAGCCTGGGCTACAAAGTGAGCTCCAGGCCAGCCTGAACTGCATAGCAAGACCCTGTCTCAAAAAGACAGAAAACCCAAAAACCAAAAAACAAAAACAAGTTTTCAAAGCACAGGAGGTACGCCAGTTATTAGCCGGTTAATTTCCTGCATCTCTAAGCCCCTGAGCACCTTTCACGTGCTGCTCTGGGGGATGGGCTGAGTCTGCAAGGGCGGCTCTCTGCACTCAGCCTGCTGGTTGGCCATGGTCAGGCCCAGCCTGCCAAGACCCTGCAGAAGACCCTGCAGGACACACATACTCCTAGCACCAACCATGACACCTTCCTGCCTTCATCCTGAGGCCCTGCACGGTCCCAGCACTGGTGCCAGCTTCAGCTTTAAGACCTCTCAACCCTTGCCTCCTAGCCTGAGAGTCAAGTGTCTCCCAAGTACCTGGGTCCAAGTTCAGGAATCCTGCTGTCACTCCAGTCCTCCATCCCAGGGATGGGGCTGCTTCTTCGTCACTCACCTCTGGCACACCTGAGCGTGCTCTTCGCTCCTCTGGCCCGTGACATACACACGCACCAATTCCCCTCTATGACTTAGTCTGCTTTCTCTGTCCTGCCTGGTCCCTGACAACACCAGACAATTTCTGCATGCATGTGTTATCTGCTTCCTGTTACCTTCAACGCTTGGCTGTTTCAGTGCTGAGGTGGGCAAAGCTGTAGGCGAAGGCACACTGGTCGGCTGGGTCTCCTGAAGGGGTGGGGTGGTGGCACCGTCCCCACGGTGATGAGACTGAGGACCCACGCCAGTGGGACTCATCATCCTTTCAAAGGCCTGAGCTAGACAGGGAAACACAACAGCATCAGAATCTCAGAGCGTTTTGAACTTCCAAGCAAACTGTTACAAACACTCCATCTCTTAAGTTGTACAGAAAAAGGAACCAGAAGTAGCACCTGGCACAGACACTGAGCGACTGGCACCGCTCTGGACAGCAGCTGGCAGCACTGGGCTTTGACAGCCACTGCCAAGTCATTTCCACAGCGCGCTCGCGCATGCTCCAGGCCACTACAGAGCAGGCCGCGTCTGCTTCTGCTGTGGCCTGCCTCCTGCACGGCGCAGGAGGGTTCTTTCAGACACAAATCAGTGTCTTGTGCCTGCTTAGTTTACAGTACTTTCACAGGGCTGGGAATGTGGCTCAGACGGAAGGCACTAGTCTAGTGTGCAGGAGCACCAGCTCGGGAAAAAAGAAAGAGAAGAAAATTCTGGAAGGGTTCCCTAAGGGGAATGAAAGTGAAGCTGTTAAAATGTCCAAGAGACCAACACAATCTGCATCCCTGCCTTCAGCTCCTTTCCGATCAGCATCCGATCTGCTCGCTAGGCCCAGTGAGCAGCCCGGAGGCCATTGCTCGAGTGCCCGCTGCCCAGCTGGGGCACGCTCCTCCGAGGGCTGTGTGCACAGCGGTCCTCTGCGTTCACACCTCTCGTGGAGCCCTGCGCTGGCCGCCTTCCTGCCATGCGCCCGTCACGAGCCCCCTTGCTGTGTAGGCTTCATTCAAGGGCGGCAGCACCATGTGAGAGCCCCTCCCATCCACAAGCCCCACGGAACAGGGCAGCCACTCTCAGCTGGGGAGCTGTCTGCTGTACTCTCCAAACCCGCCTGCTGTCAGGGCTGCCGCGGCTCGAGTCAGGAACAGCGGGCCCAGGGAAGGGTTCCCATTGGCCAAGGAGTCCGAACATCTTTCGCTCTGGGTGTCAAAAGCATCTCCAACTCGCCCCAAATCTACCTAGTGGTACTGACAGGCCTGCTTCCTTTAAAGTCACGTGATCTCAGCACTCCTGTCTCGTGATCCACACCTCTATGCAATCTTTCCTTCCGTCTCTTCACTAACTGTCTCACAGCCCTTGAATCATCTTTCTCCTCTCATCAGACAACACTGTTTGGTCACTTCTTCCATTTTCAACCAATACGAATTACAAATAGTCCTATAAGTGAAACTTTATCCTATATGGAAATAGAGTAAAAGAGCAAACGCTGTAACTAAATAAACTCGTTCCACAATGTCCTTAATAAGTCAAAGTTTGATAACATATCCTGAATCTCTTTAATGACTGCATCCTCTCCCCTCTGGGACCTTAGAGTCAGAATGTCTTAATGCTTGTGCAAAAATCTGGCCTGTCAACTCAAGTAATACATGAAATCTCTACCTTCATTTTTTTTTAAGCAGGGGAGATAATTATCTGGGCACTTGCTCTAAAATGTCTGAATTCAAGCAGATTACGCTGGCAAACAGTGCAGCAGCAGTCACTGTGAGGCTACCGGACCAGCGCAAGAACGAACAGAACACCGCGATGCACGTAGCCTAACCTGTTTTCTGAGCACTGCTGGCAAAACCTGTAAAAGACTCATACTCTGTTACCTTCTGGAGCACGCATCAACGCCAGGGACGAAAGCCCCTCCCCTCGGGCTAACAGACTCACATTAGGCGTTTCTGGAGAATTAATGAAAAAAATGTATCTTCATTCAAAAGAGGAAAATAGATTATTGCCACGTACGCACTGTGCTGGCTAGCAGGAAAAAGTGCCTGAGCTAATAATGCACGGGTCTGGTTAAAAGAGAAAAAGCCCACACAATGCTTTCCGGGAATTAATTGTCAATCAATCTTTGAAAATGCAAGGAGTACTTAAAAGAACATATTTAGGGGAAAAACACACCATACACACACACACACACACACACACACACACTCTGAGAACGCAGAGACCCCAGGACTACAGCTGACAATGGAAGCTAGCTAGGGGCCAGGGACATGATGGGAAGCAACGCAGGACACTAACAGTGAGGAGGGACACGGTAGACAGACATGTACAACAAGGCGGTGGTCCCAAGAGCTTACTGAATCAGACAACTACAGCCTGATCTTCTCTCAGTCTAGGTTATTTCTAAAGGGCAGAACTATCACCTCCCTCGGGCCATTAATATACAACACTGAGTACTGTTTGTCGGTAGGTACTTTATAAACGTTTAGCTCACGATGATGATGATGATGAAGACAATGATGACAAAAACAAATAGGTAGACGAGATGCAGCAGGAAGGACTTGGTACCTGTTAAAAGGTAATGAACTGCCACTCCAGAAACTGAACGCTTCCTCTGCAGACTGGTAGTGTTAATTGTGAGAGTGGAACAAAAAGAAGAGAAACCAAGCCTTGGGAGTCCCACCTAAGCCAGATAAGTCAACACTAGGTCCTTGCCTTGAGGAAATAGAGAAGTTCATCTTCGTCACAATCCAGTCGTTTGCAAGACATATTCAATTACTGGATGAAAACAGGTCAAGTGAATACTCACCTTTGTTAATAGTCTCATAGCAGATTACACACACTCTTGCTTCCTTTTCTAGATACGGCAACTTACACTTCCTGTTACAACAGACACCACAAAATACCTATAAAGAATGAAACACCACATTTGTTTGTTTCAAGCAAACTACTTGAAACAACAGTAGAGACCCCATACCTCATTAACCAAGGCCCTTTTCTCTATGATCCACAGCGGTACCTCGGTGGATGAACACTTTCATTTGTAAACAATTTGGTTTGTAAACAGAAGCATTTGGCACAATTGTTTTTGTTTGCAAATTCTACATTGGGTGATAAACACAACCACCACCATCTTTCCTGCGAAAAAGTGGCCATCTTTTTGAAAACCACAGTACAAATTAAGTGTATGAGCCAAGGTACCACTGTATTTTCCTAATCACCATCCTAAGTAAAATTCTTAAGAGATTTTTTCATTTAAATGTGATTCTGTGATTTATAACTATATCTGGTAACAATTCCTTTAATTCAATTCTGTCCATTAAAAAGAGAATGAAAACTTTCAGTGTGTAAGTTTAATATTTTCTAGTTTTCTATAGTTCTTTATTTAAAACCTTTATGAGTATTATTTTGCTAAAGATGAGGATGATCTTAACCAACATACTAATGAAAAATGCTAACTAAAAAGGTGCATCCCTATTCCTGAGTTTACAAACAACCTCCGCCTCTGTCGACTGTTGTAAGGCAGTTGGACACACTGGTTTCTGTGTCTGAAGCCACGTAGGCCAAGCTGCTGCTCAGGCTCTCCAGGGGCAAGGGATCACAGCGACAGCTGCAGCCTGTGCCTAAGTGAGGTCTTCAAGGACAAAGCGGATCTGATTGTGTTTACATCTGCCATGCCAATAAGGACAGCATTCTAGATTTTGTAAAACTTAACAGTAAGTGTTTCTCATTTCCCAACATGTAACAAATACCCATGATAATATGACATTTACTCAACAATCAGAGAATCTGTGGAATGGTAGTGCTGTACTGGTTTCCATGATGACTATGAGGTGAAAAGCAATGATTTTAAACACAACCGTGTCATCTTCTGTTCATCAGCCTTCCTGTCATTAGACTTCATTTAAATTGCCTCAAAGAATGAAAGAGCTGGGCTGAGGACGCACCCCAGGGGAACAGCATTTGTCTACTATGTGGGAGGCCCTCAGTCTGACCCCCAGCACTAAGAATAAAAGATGAAGATCTTTATAACTCACTTTCCCGCATGCTCGGCAGTGGTGTCGCCGTTTTGTAAAAGTAAATTTGACCTGGCAATTCATACAGTTTGGAGCTTCTGAATCAGGAACCCAAGTAGGTTGTTTCTGGCCCAAAACCGAGCCTTCTTTGCAAGTGTTTTCAGGCAAAGAATCTTCACTTGCAGTTAAAAAACTGGACCCACTTTCAAAGTTGCTTTCTATGTCAATGTAGTTAGAGTTGAAGCTGGCCTGGGCATCTCCTGCAGAATCAGCAGGACACGGGCTTGGCGCAATTGTGTTTGCTAGGTTGGGCTCACCTTCTGGCATGGCCAGAGCATCTGGCTTATTCAGTTCCTTTGAAACCCGCGCAAGGCTAGCGAACTGCTTAGGCCTAGCCCCTCCCACATGCACAGACTGGCTGCTGATATCAGAGACCGGTAGCTCATTAGTCATCTCAGACTTGCTGGGAAGGAACCCTTGTTCAGTGGGAATTTCGCTTCTTTCCTGTACAGAAAGGACCACTGTATTTTGTTTATCAGCAGTTTCACAAATCATATTCACACCATCACTTCCCCCAGTGGCTCCTGCTTCAGCACTGAAATAAATATCACTGACGTTTCCATCACCGAGGCCTTTCAGGTCTATCGGATTCATCTGAGATTTTGAGTCATTTACATTTTCTTTAAAGGATGTTAAGTTAGAGGTCTGAAGGTACTGTTCTGTCAAGAAGGCATCGAGCTCTGCGTCACTAATGAGTGTGCCACTCTTCATCCCTTCATCAATATTGAAATAGTCTAAGTCATGCCCGCCCACGTCACTGCCTGAGAAAGTGAGATTAGCACAACCAGCAGGACAGCCTGGCGCATCAGCCCCCAAGAGTTCCAGCTGAGACTCTGCAGTTGTGGAGGGACTGTTGGGACCAGGGGCACTCAAAGCCTCAGCTCCAATTCCCATCTGCTCAGGTTCTACCTTTCCTTCTTCCCTCTCTTCCTGTACTGGCTGAGGAAGAGTACTTTTACATTTTTCTTCTTTCGTAAGCTCAGTCTGCCTGAATGGTTCCCTGTCTAGAATGACACCCTTTTGTGTTTCTCCATGCACCATCCCTGTATCTTGTGTATGATCCTTGGTTTCCTGCTGAGGTAAACAACTGCCATGTGCTTTACTTTCAATGAATGAGCTGCACAGAGAGCCAGGTACTGGAAGACAGGACAAAGAGGAGGGTGCATCTTCACTGGAAACATGTAGAGCTGACAGGGAACTGTGGACTGCATCATTATTAGCTTTAAGGTCTACATTTCTTGAGTCTTCTTTTGCAGATTGATTTATAAACACAGCAGTTCTATCTTCCTGACAGGAATAGTCAGGTAATTTGAAATTTTCACCTCTTGAGTTTGAGTCACTTAGGCACAAACTTTCACTTTTTGGAAGACTTTTGCAAGGCAAAGCACTTGTGCTGCCTCCTTTCAAACATTCAGTGGCAGCTGCAACTGTCGTATCTACTTCCTCTTTCACCAAATCTACTTCTGGTTTCACCAAACAGCCACCATCTTTTAGTAATTCACAAGGTAGGCTCTTGTGTTGTAGGTTATCTTTGGTATCACAAATTCTGGAACTTTGCTCAGTCAAAACAGAGGTTATATTAGAGTCAACAACTGGATCTAACTGATTAGAGATCTTTTCATCCTTTAAATTTTCTGTTCCATTATGTTTACAAGAGACTGAAAGTAGTGTATCTACTTTTATAACCAATTCTTTGGTACCACCAATTTCTCTATTCTCTAATTCAGAGTTGACATCATTCTGTTCTTCTGTGACAGGATCATTCCCATGATCTGCTGATGGGATAGAGACAGTATCCGAAACTGCAGAGGAATCCAATGCGGTCAAACAATCTACACTAGGCGTGAAGTCATCTGGCAGTAATTGCTTAATATCTTCTTCGCTATTAGTTGGATGAACTAAGTTACCCGTGTCACTTATCAGGTCGCAGACAGGCTTACTACATCGCATGTACAAGGGCTGGATGTCATCTGAAGTACCACCATCCACGGAAGAAAGGAGATCTAGTCCTGTTAAGTTTTTTTCATTTTGCAGAGAAGTTAGTCCTGCGAGTGTTTTTTCACTGAGAGAAATCTCATTTGCTTCATAGCATGTTTCTGAGGAGGCACAACTATGAGTACACTGCCGGTCTTTCGGTAGCAGGGAAGGTGGCTGTGAAGAAGCCAACTCTGAAGAAACTGAATACTTGTTAGAATCATATACATTCTGAACACCTTGGAGATAATCTTGTTCATCTAATTGAAAACAGAGACACAACGTTATTCAGGAGGCTCAAATCAAATAAAAATTATCAAAACAATATGTTTTCTAAGACTTCTAAACTAAAAAAAACTTTTTTGGCTTTAAAGTACTGTATTTTGTGCTTTTTACTTTTGAATATAAATGTCATAAAGTGATAGAAATTCCACTTATGACTCAGTTGCATTATAAATCCAGCCTGAGGAAGAGCTGACAATCAATTTTCTTTATTCTGCTCCCCATTTCCTCGTCTTTACTCTGAGGATGATATCATCTCGCAAACTCAACCTGTGCCATGCTTTAAGGCTGCTTTTATCTTGCTCATGTGCTGGTTTGGAGGTCCCTGCTATAGCTAATAGGACCTCCTATTGCTATGTCATTTCTGTTGCCTTCTGCTGGTTTGTTGACTTCTATTAGTCTTACATAGGGTCCTACAGGAGGTCCCTGCTTGTATCTGTAAAGCAACTTCTAGTTCCCTGACTTCTACTGTTGGCTATGGGCTCCATTCTGTATGAGAATAAACTAATACATTCTAAAACAACACAGGAGAACTTTTTTCAGAAGATAACCATGTGACCAAAACAGAAATCAAATTTTGCTAAGGGCACTCTACACCTGAGCTAAGTGAATTACAGATATTTAAAAATTCTAGTAGAGACAAAAGTGGAAAACCAACAAACCTGGGTTCTGTTCAAAGTCATCAAGGAGTTTGTCCAAGTCACTGACAGCTGCTTTAAAATAACTGTCCATTCTACCTCTAGATTTACTCAGAATTCAATTCTTGTATGTCTGGAAAATAAAAAGTATATTTTGCTTAATTCTCTAAAATAGAAAAGTTATGCCCTCTATTCCATGTTAGGAAACACAGGAAATAGAAACAAAAATTATATTTAACAGCACTTCTTTGAGAAGTCTACAATTTAGGCAAAGGAACTCTATTTATGCAAAACTCTAATAACATTTCCATGCATAAAGCATTACAAATTTCAAAGCACTTATCTAAATAATTCATGAGTCAAAGCATTCACAATGAAAAGCTAAAAATACTTATACATACCGCATGTCAAATATATAAAACATAATGCATATAAATAAAAATACTACAAATGACAGCTAATGAAAGAAAGGATCTCTTAAAATTAACAAGGAACCAAGAAAAACCAATTCAACAGCTGCAAGATGAAGCAAAGAGAAATAATGTAAGACTAATAGAAGTCAACAAAACAGGAGGAGGCAACACAAATGACATAAAAAGAATATTTGCAGAAGTAATAGCAGAAAATTTCCCAATCGTGGAAAATGAATCTGATGTACACACAAGTGAGGCATACAGAACTCCAACCAGCCATAACCAAAATGAAACTATTCCCAAACATATATTAATCAAGATCCCAGATAACAAGCAAAAGAACAGAATATAAAAAGCCATTAGAGAAAAGAAATAGCTCACCTAAAGGAAAGCCCATCAGAATCACAGCAGATTTCTCAACACAAACCATCCAGGCAAGAAGAGCCTGGAGTGAAGTATTACAGATCCTGAGCCAAAACAGCTTTCAGTCAAGATTGATGTACCCTGCAGAACTATCCTTCAAATTTAATGGAGAAATAAAGTATTTCCACAACAAAGAACAACTGAAGAACTTCATGAGTGCCAAACCAGACTTACCAAGAGTACTAAAAGATATTCTAGACAGGGAAAAAAGACTGCAATTTCAAGAACAATAATACAAAGGAACCCTCAAGCACAGCGAGCAATTAAACAGATAGAAAAAGTTGGAAACCAAGAGCAATTAAATAACATGACAAAGATAAGCCAACACATATCAGTTATAACCATTAATGTAAATGACCTCAATTCACCAGTCAAAAGAAACAGACTGGTAGAGTGGATTACAAAACAAAATCCAACAATATGCTGTATACAGGAAACACATTTCACTCAAAAGGAAATCCACAGACTCAGTCAAAGAATGGAAAACAATTCTCCATGCAACAGGAACCCAGAAAAAAGCAGGGGTAGCAATTATGTTTGCAGAAAATGTAAACTTCAAACCAAAGATAATCAAAATAGATTAAGAAGGTCACTACATACTTGTTAGGGGAAAACTGCAAGAAAAAAGGTAACAATTATAAACATGTACGCACCAAATATGGCAGCACCAAACTATATAAGACAAATCTTAACAGACATGAAAACCCATATAATTAATAACACTATTGTAACAGGGAACCTAAATACCCCTTTGACACAAAGAGATAGGTTAACTAGGTAAAAAATCAGCAAAAGAAATAACAGCTGAACAAAATCTGTGAACAAATAGATTTAGTAGATGTATACAGAGTGTTCCACCTGACAACATCAGAATACACATCTTCAGCTGCACGTGGGACATTCTCTAAAACAGACCACATTCTATCCCATAGAGCATACCTAACTAAATGCAAAATAACTGAAATTATCCCATGGATATTATCTGACCACTGAGAGATGAAACTGGAAATTAATGACAAAACAACTTCATAAACACTTGGAAATTAAATAACAATCTCCTGAACAACCAATGGGTCACAAAAGAATTAAAGAAGAAATTACAAAATACCTACAAACAAACGAAAATGTACATACAACTAACCAGAATCTGTGGGATGCAATGAAAGCAGTCCTCAGAGGGAAATTTATAGCAGTGAACTCACACATCAGGAAAACAGAAAGAAAACAAATAAATAGCCTAATGTTGCACCTCAAACTTCTAGAAAAAGAAGAACAAGTCAAGACCAAAGCCCAAAGGGAGGAAATTATGAAGATCAGGGCAGAAATTAATGCAATTGAGACAAAGAAAACACTACAAAAAATAAATGAATCAAAGAGTTGGTTCTTTGAAAGAATAAATAAAATTGATAAATCCCTAGCCAAATTTATCAAAAAAAAGAAAGGAAAAAAACTCATATTCATGCAGTAAGGAATGAAAAGGATGAAATTACTACAGATCCTACAGAAATTCAAAAGGTCATTGATACCTAATTTGAAAATCTTTACTGCCATAGGGTAGGAAACTCAGAAGTAGACAAATTCCTAGATATGTATGAATTACCAAAGTTGAATCAAGAAAATATAAAAATCTGAACAACCCAATATCAATTAATGAGATTGAAAATGTGATTAAAAACTTACCAACAAAGAAAAGCCCAGGCCTTGATGGATTCACAGCAGAATTCTACAAGAAATTCAGAGAAGATTTAATGCCAATACTTCTGAAACTCTTCAGTGCAATTGAATAGGAAGCAATTCTCCCTAACTCATTTCCAGAGGCAAGTATTATACTGATAGCAAAACCAGAGAAAGACCCAACCAAGAAAGAGAACTACAGACCAATCTCCCTAATGAACATAGATGCAAAGATACTCAATAGAATACTAGCAAACAGAATGCAGCAAATCATCAAGAAAATCATACACCATGATGAAGTTGGATTCATTCCAGGAATGCAGGGATGGTTCAATATATGCAACTCAATAAATGTTATCACCATATTGAGAGGGAAAACGAAAACCACATGACCATCTCAATAGATGTGGAAAAAGCTTTCGACAAAGTCCAACACTCATTCACCATAAAAACCCTACAGAAAATAGGAACAGATGGGTTTTACCTCAACCTGATCAAAGCCATCTATGATAAATCAACAGCATACTAACTGGCCAAAAACCGAAAGCTTTCACTTTAAAGTCAGGAACAAGACAAGGATGTCCACTGTCACCACTCCTATTCAACACAGTTCTGGAAGCATTAGCCAAACTAATTAAGCAAGAGAGGGAAATAAAAGGAATAAGGATATGAAAAGAAGAAGTGAAATTATCACTATTTGCAGATGACATGATATTCTGCAGGGAAGACCCCAAAAATTCTACCAGAAGACTCCTTGAATTAATCAACAAATTCAGCAGTGTAGCTGGATACAAAGTCAACACTCAAAAATCGATAGCATTCCTATATACAAACAACAAACAGACTGAGAGAGAAATTAAGGACACCATACCTTTCACAACAACATCCAAGAGATTGAAATATTTAGAAATCAATCTAACAAAAGAAGTAAAAGATCTATTCAATGAAAACTACAGTACTCTGAAAAAAGAGATCGAAGAGGATTTCAGTAAATGGAAAAATATCTCTTGCTCATGGATAGGAAGAACCAACACTGTGAAAATGGCCATACTCCCAAAACTGCTGTACAGATTCAATGCAATTCCTATTAAACTACCATCAGCATACCTCACAGATCTCATGAAAACATGCCTTCAATTCATCTGGAACCAGACGAGACCCAGAATAACAAAAGCAATCCTGGGCAACAAGAACAAGTCAGGTGGAATCACAATCCCTGACCTGAAATTATACTACAAAACTACTCTAACAAAATCAACATGGCACTGGCTAAAAAACAGACCAGAGGATCGATGGAATAGACTGGAAGAAACAGCTACAAACACAAACACACTCAGCCACAAAATCTTTGACAAAGGGGCCAAACAAGTTCACTGGAAGAATGATAGCCTCTTTAATAAATGGTGCTGGAAAAACTGGCCTGTCATATGTTGAAGACTGAAAACAGACCCATACCTATCACCAGGCACTAAACTCAAGTCAAAATGGTTCACATTTTGTCATATTAAAACAGAAACACTAAATCTGTTGGAAGAGAAAGTAGGTAAAACTCTTGAAGACATAGGGGTAGGCAGACAGTTCATGAACAAAAACCAAACCACACAGGAAATACTTCAAAGAATCAACAACTGGGATGTCATCTTACTGAAAAAATTTTGAACATCCAAAGAAATCACCAGTGGAGTAAAAAGAAAACCCACAAATTTGGAAAAACTTTTAGCTGACTGTCCCTCAGACAAAGGACTTCTATCTCGAATATATAAAGAATTAAAAAACATCAGCCCCGGGAGGGTGGGCCCCCAGCGCACAGGGAGCCTTGGGCGGGGAGTGCCGGTCTTCGGACCAGTGATTCACTCCTGGCCTCGTGGTTCCCCGGAAGGAGGGCTTCCGGCGCACAGGGAGCTGCGGGTGGGGAGCGCCAGCCTTCTGGCTGGCTAGCTTCCTGCCTGCTGGCTCCCAGAGGGTGGGCCCCCGGCGCACGGGGAGCCTCGGGCGGGGAGCGCCAGTCTTTTGGGGTCTTCGGACTGGCGACTCACTCCCGACCTAGT